GTCATAGAGACAGCTGAGAACCTAGTCTCAACGATAGACACAGACTGTCATAGAGACAGCTGAGAACCTAGTCTCAAAGATGGACAAAGACTGTCATAGAGACAGCTGAGAACCTAGTCTCAAAGATGGACACAGAGACAAAGACTGTCATAGAGACAGCTGAGAACCTAGTCTCAAAGATGGACACAAAAGAGACAGACTGTCATAGAGACAGCTGAGAACCTAGTCTCAAAGATGGACACAAAAGAGACAAAGACAGCAACACAGGACAGAGAAAGCTACAAAGACAGAGGGGACAGAGACTGCTACAAAGACAGCAACACAGGCCACAGAGACGGCTACAAAGACAGAGGGGACAATGACAGAGACAGCCATAGAGACAAGAAACACCGACATAAAAGAGCCTCTGATCACAAAAGAGACTTTGTCACCCAAAACACACAGTCCCCATCTGAAGGACACACCCCATCTGAAGGACACTCCCCATCTGAAGGACACTCCCCATCTGAAGGCCATTCCTCTTCTAGAACAGGGTTTCCCAAACTCGGTCCAGGCCCCTCTGGGTGTACGTTTTGGTTTTTTCCCTAGCACCACACAACTGATTCAAATAACCAACTCATCATCAAGCTTTGGTTATTTGAATCAGCTGTGTGGTGCCAGGGAAAAAAACAAAACGTGCACCCAGGAGGGGCCCCAGGACCGAGTTTGGGATACCCTGTTCTAGAGAAGCTCTCCACTGACAGTAGCTCCTCCTCCTCCTCAGACCATTCCAGGGCCAGCTCTCACTCCATAGGCCACACCTTCTATCATTCAAACCAGCGCAGCAGACCACGCTCGCATCACCTGTCAAGGACACGCCCAGTGGGAGGAGCCACGTGTGACATCATAACCTTGGAGGGAGTGCTGTAACAGCGTTACCCAGAGGAGGTTTTCTCCCCTCCTCAAAGACATAAATATACCCATTGAATGACTGGAAATAGAGTGTTTGTGTTAGAATGTGAGAAAGACTGGGTTTGCTGTTGTAAGGTTGTGACAGAAGCATAACTAATTAAATTGCCTTTGTTTCTACTGATCTTTTAACTACGAGTGTCTTTCCTATTTCTATTCCCTATTTTGACAAACACTGTACCCCGTCTTGCATTCAGCTCTGTTAATTCAGTGTGAATTTCTCTGGTACAATCTGTAAACTGACATTAGTGACACAGTATTAGAGCCAAGTCCTGACCGAAGTGCAAGTTGCTGGTAAAACCTTTTGAGATAATCAATCCAGATAGAGTAACTGAGTTCAGTTTACCGAAGTCATGCCTGCATGTCCTACAGGGGTACCCAGGGTAGACTGGCTGGTTCGGTGTTTTCCAGTTTCCACAGATGTAATGTGCCTCATAATCCAGCAGGAGAAGTGTGATCGCACTTACAGTACCTTTGACCTTTGCATTATAATACAGCAGAGATTGTTGTTGCTTTTATGTCCCTTGCGCTATGGATAGGGACTACCGTTTTCTCCCAACAGAGTGAACTGATTGGATCTTATCATATGTTATAACCATAGGGCTCAGGGAAGTTTGCCTCGTCAGGTCATTAACCTACCTTGCTGAATATATTATTCTAGTGTTCAAATTACTCTTCTCATGTTAATGTTTAAAAAAAGATATATATATATATATATAGAGTCTACACAATTAGTCCCACAAAATTCCATAAACTAGAAAATCCCATAATGTAGAAGGATATTTGTTGTATAACCCTTTCGATTTGATATTAGTCTCTCATAGCTTGATTAATGGTGCTGTAATTTCTTCACTCAGAATAGATTTGATTTTAATGTTCTTTGCATTCTTCTGTCGTTACTCACAGTTGGTCGTGTTTACATAAGGCTGTCGCCACTGGGTAAGCACTTTTTATCGTGTCTCCCTCTTTTTGACATGTATATACCCGCTTTATCAGAAACGTCTTTGTTTGTGAAATAAATCATTTCTATCTGCTGTTTCCGTGACACTCCTCGGGTTCTGTAAAACCTCTTCTTTCAGTTCCACCTGGTTTTTCTTGAATCCAATATCCCAAATACGTTAATTCTATAATTAGCCGTTGATAATGATAATAATAGGCTAATAACAATAATGCATTGTATTATTTTATAAGGCCATCGTGGTTATAATAAGGACATAACTTCAATAGGCCTATAGGCCAATACTTTTTTAGGCAATGATAATAATTGTATTAGAATGTAATTTGGTTATTTTCGATTGTGTTAATTTATACGAAATATCTTGTTGGCGGAATTTAATTTAATATTGAATTAGTTCAATGTTGCTCCATAGGCGCTCACGGGGCAACCCATGGGCTGAGGCAACATCCGCATCAACAGCTTGCCATTCACTCAATCATTATAACTCCCTCTCCCCACAGCACTCCGTTCCATCTGGTGTTTCTAGCAACCCACTGGGTCCATAACCTGTGCTGCGCTATATACGGCTATAGCCCTTCTCAATGGCCTACACAGCACTAACCATTATTACGCTCCATATCAAGCCCTAAAAGGCTTTTTAATTGCAAACCTGTTTGTGAATCAGTGCATTTGATTTCGTGCGTCCGCAAAAGGTTCAGCAACGCCGCATTACCTTTCACTTAAAACCATTACGCACATTTCAATGCCATGGATAAGGGGTCTAAATTGCGTTTTACGCGGTCACGCTTCATAAACTCCGTTGTGCGTCTCCAGTGTAATGGGGAATAAACGCGGGTTAACAGTTTCCTTCCTTTTTCAAACGACGAGCAAATATAAACACCTTTAAGCGAGATTACATGGACTGATTTGTATGGAATTGGTTTACTTGAACTTTATAGCAGGTGCTGAGTACCCCATTAAAGATACTGGTAAAAGTGCTCTTGAAGAACTCAATGCTGCCATATTCGTTTCTGTGTGCGTTTGACTGGCTTTTAGACCTACGTTTGATTGACGGTTATTAATGCAGAAGAAAAATTAACGTAAACTGTGATGATTAACAGGCAGATATAGCATAAGCACCATGATCAAAAGAGAAAAACAACGTAAAAGTTCTGGGGAAAAAATTATTGCTAAAAAATACAAATGTGTGTATTTCTTCTCTCAGAATCATGGTTATTGATGGCCTGCAAGGCCAGCTGAAATAAATGTTAGTGCTTTATAACATTACAGTTATAACATGGTAATAAATTTGACCTTTTAAGTCATGGGCCTTAACTGCTGCCTTGCCCTCAGTTGCTGCGTAAAAGTGTCTCACGGTCCTGGAGAGACGTGTATTTCCAGGCGCAACGCGCGCTAATTGAGTTCTGTTCCTCACTCCATGGTAATTGGTTTACACCCTGGCTCTCCTCTTTACTTTACCACGAGGAGTGTTGTTTAATGGAGCGAGCACCTGTTTGCCTAATGACCAGCAAACACAGAGGGAGAGTGGCGGCGGGAGACACGAGCTCTGATGCTGTTTGTTATGACCAGTAACCAGAGGAGATCCGTTAAATGGTGTTAAATGAGCCATTTGGGCTGGATTTTAAAAATCGCAGGTTCGGAAACTTTTGACAGAACACTAAAAGGTATCCAACTAGGAGAGTGTTCGGTAAGGACTTGGTCTTTGATCCCCCTCACATCTCATTGCCAAGTTTCCAAGACAACCGCCTCCCCATCCAAGTTGCTTATCACCATGGTCCTATAGGCCTATACATCTGGCTATCGATTTCCCCCTCTATCAGTCGCATATTGATAAGAGAACTACGTTCATAAAGGCTACACTGAGTGTACAAAACATTTGCCCCCAGAACAGCCTCAATTCGTTGGGGCATGGACTCTACAAGGTGTCGAAAGCGTTCCACAGGGATGCTGGCCCATGTTGACTCCAATGCTTCCCACAGTTGTGTCAAGTTGGCTGGATGTCCTTTGGGTGGTGGAACATTCTTGATACACACGGGAAACTTGAGCTTGAAAATTCAGCAGCGTTGCAGTTCTTGATACACTCAAACCTGGGCGCCTGGCACCTACTACCATACCCCCGTTCAAAGGCACTTACATATTTTGTCTTGCCCATTCACCCTCTGAATGGCACACATACATTTTCAGTTGTTGTCTTATATAGAGCGATTTACAGGAGCAATTAGGGTTAAGTGCCTTGTTCAAGGGCACATCGACACATTTCCCACCTAGTCAGCTCGGGGATTCGAACAAGCGACATTTTGGTTACTTTAACCTGTCTCCTCCCCTTCATCTACACTGATTGAACTGGATTTAACAGGTGACATCAATAAGGGAGCATAGCTAAAACCTGGATTCACCTGGTCAATCTATGTCATGGAAAGATCAGGTGTTCCTAATGTTTTGTAGACTCAGTGTGACTATTCAATGGCTGACATTGATCGACGGCATTGACATCTACATACAGGCTTCATGAGCGCACTGCACTCCCATCGTTTCTTCTTCTTTCCCACCAACAAAGCCAAAGCAAGCCGTGATGATGCTGACATTCTGAAGACACGTTCTGTTTGCTTTTCTCTCCGTGATTGGTCTCTGCAGGCCGCAATCTCTCTGATAAGGTGCTCGGTGGCATTAGCCCCTGTCCGCGCGCAGAGATAGGACCTGCGGATTCCCCTGCTCACCTGTCCATCGCTGCATTAGGACCACCCGGACGCAGGTGGATCTCAGAAACCCGCCGTCAAACAGTGCAGTGTTTGGCGAGGGCATTGATTTGCGCACGGTCAATTCTGTTCAATTATTATCGGACCGCGGGGAGGAGAATACAGACACGAATAGAAACTAAGGCGACAACTTATCCGTTTTGTGTCAACAGTGAGACCAATGGCTTAGGTGCAACAGGGTCACATGGTGATGACACACCTATGCAGGGCCTAAAGCGGCGTCAGGCGCACGAGCAACACAGGTAGAGCAGAGCACAAGGTTCCACGCTGCGTAGGCTATAGGGCGCAGGTAAATGCGTGCACACACACCGGTTGGATAGCCCTGGCCCTCGGCAGTCATGAATCGAGAAGAGCACTACTATTCTCCCGCGCAGCTGTTCAAGGACTCCTGCGCCTACCAGAGACCCCACAGCGAGGACTACAGCCACAGCCCTCCGCCCTGTCTTTACATGGGCCGGCAGGCTCAGTCAGTCTACTCCTCGCCCTCCATTGGAGTGCTAGACCAGGCGAGTCTCCCTGACATTGCTCCGTACAGTATTCCCATGCGAGAGGACCCGGGTGTGCCGCAGCTCCACCACCCCCAGGCGCCCCAACAGACTCTCCAGCCAGGGGGTTACGAAGACCCGGGGGGGCTGGCTCTCTGTGCGGATAGGAACAGATACCACCTGCCTTTCCCCTGGATGAAAACCACCAAGTCTCACGCGCACATCTGGAAGGGACAGTGGGCAGGTAACTCACTGCAGTCACCTTGGCAATGTTCTCATAGTTCTCATTACCGCAATGCTTCAAAGAAAGGAATTAATCTATGGCCTCTCAAGGAATCTTTACGCACACACTTGTAGGAATATTGCAGCCCTTTCTTTTATAGTAGGCCTATCGAAATGGATTCGTTTGAACACTTAGTTTGAACACACTCTTTTATACTGTACAAATATTAGACAAGTAAATCTATTTGATTTTAAAGACAATATTTCAACAAAAGTATTTATTCAATAGTTAACAATTGAACATTCAGAAGTTTCCTTTTGTTAATAGCAAGGGAGTGAGTGTTATGTATAGGGAATTCAGCAAAAATTACACTGAACATGAATTATAATTCAAAAGGTATTTAGCCTAACTCTCGCATTCATTATACCATTTCGCTGCTTTGTCTGTTGGCTAGCTATGCCACCGCTGTGAATATAGGCCTTAGGAATGATCAAACGTTAATCATGATAAACGTTCATGAAGTTTGAATAGACCCAGGCTTTTGTGCACTTATAAGGACTTAGATTACATCATGATGTCTACAATATACAGAATGTCGTGGGTGGATGTCAGTTTACCTTGTCAATCCATCTGTAAAGGACCTGTGTTCCCCTCATACAAACCACAATGTTTTGTACTCCTCTGAAGGTGTGCCTCCTGTCTCAAGTACCAAGTTGCGATTCACTTCAAATATGTGAACATTTCAGTTGTGGCTATTTATTTGTTAATGATTTCCTAATGGCAGGTATGATCCATATAGGCCTTCATGAAAAATGTTTCGTATTACATATATAATAATATGCCATTTAGCAGACGCTTTTATCCAAAGCGACTTACAGTCATGTGCGTATACATTTTTACGTATGGGTGGTCCCGGCGATCGAACCCACTACCCTGGCGTTACAAGCGCCATGCTCTACCAATCGAGCTACAGAGGACCACATATGACCGTGTCTTACAATAACCTTAGTTATCTCAATATATTTGTTAATGTAAAATATATTAAAGGGTATATAATTAACCTGGAGTGTTAAGGGAAAGCAGAAAATAATGAATAAACTCTTCTTCCTAAAAGTATTTTCTGTTGCGGCCATTTTAAGTCAACTCGGTTCAGCGTGTCAATGGGAGCCTTTTACGATTATTATTATTTTTTGGCTAAAATAATTTTTTTAAACAAGTTTTCAAACCACTCACACAGCTTGCGTTGGTTTCAATTACACGAAATATAAAGGTAATGTATGTTACTATGTATTGAATTAGTTAAATAAATTGAGGGTAACAACAAGTGGAAAAGTTGATAAGTCTCAAGCAGAATCAGTTATTCTCAATTATTGCGTAGGCCTATAGACAATTATTATCTCAACTCAACATTCATCAAAGATGATCTAAAAAATATTGTTTGTAGGCCTGTTAATGAGACAATTATGATAGACATGTGTTAATTATTATAACTCCATTAGGCGATATGTGTTTTTATTATTTATTACTGAAGAAAATCATGTAATTTTACAAGCGATTAACTTTTAAAAAACTAATTTCGATAAAATGTTATGTCAGTAAAAATATTTTCTTCAACGGACAAACGCAACCACTGCAAAAATGAGCCTACTCTAAAACTAATAATGAAGCAGATCAACTATTGAATAGAATATATTTTAATTGTTTATCTATTTTTAAATCAAAGACTTCACCAATATATCTGAACGAAAGTTTAACAATTGAGCTATAATTTCATAATTCAAAACACAAATTAATTGTAGTGGTAATAGTGGGGAAAGTATAAGGGTGTACCTTCATCATGTAGGCCTATACCTTCATTTAAAATAAAAGTGATTAATTGAAATAAACTTTTCACGGACTGTCTCTAAATTGACTTGCTTTTCCAGGCTGTGATTTTGCCTAATAAACAGTTCAAGTTAGTGAAACCTTTTCAGGTGAAATTGATGTAAAATATAGACTAGTACTAGAGATTACACGCATTATAAACGATTTTCAACTATTGTTGGTTTTCGTCAACTTCCGAAACCCACAGTAATCAAAATGTAGCTATATACCTATTCCTTATTATTAGTATTTAATAGTAATTTTCAAACCAATTTATTGATCCATTTGTGAGTGTTTGTGATAAATGTGCAGTTATGTGAAATTCAATGTGCTGTGGTGGCCCACATTGATTTGATAGTGATTTGTCTAATTTCAGGTTTGTGTTCTGCACAGAATATATGATGCCTCACATAGAAACGTTCCATCTATGTTAGTATAGTATATTTATTACTAAAACTGTACTGGCATCTGTGAGAGTTGGCCTGTGACTTACATGATGTACTGTTTGTTTCACTTATCATCAGTTACCTAATAGTGTTGTTTCTATCCAGTCTTTGGTTGTCAGTGTGTGAGCTGACCGTGTTCAGCCAATGTGCTGCTGTGTGTGATTCAGCTAGGTAGACTGGTGTCAGAAATGGTGAGGCATTGCCAATTTCACCTAGATTGCGGCTTTGCTGGGATTTTGACTGTGGCAGGGTACAATGTTTAGTTCACCTCTCCCCCTTACCTCTCTCCCCTCTGCCTCTCCCTCTTTCTCTATGTCTCCCACCCCCCTCCCTCCCCATCCTCCGCCACCCTCCTCAGGCCCCTACATGGTGGAGGCGGAGGAGAACAAGCGGACAAGGACGGCCTACACGCGGGCCCAGCTCCTGGAGCTGGAGAAGGAGTTCCTGTTCAACAAGTACATCAGCAGACCACGGCGTGTAGAGCTGGCCCTCACCCTCAGCCTCACGGAGAGACACATCAAGATCTGGTTCCAGAACCGACGGATGAAGTGGAAGAAGGAGGAGGACAAGAAGAGAGTGAGGGGGGTCGACCCCGAGCAGGACTCGTCCATTACGTCAGGAGACCTGAAGGATGAGGCAGGGGTGGGGGTCGGGGGGGCAGGGACTCCCACACTGGCACCTCCCACCACCACTACACCGCCCTCGCCCTTACAAGCCCCCTCCCTGTCAGGTTCTAGAGACTCGGCCTAGCAGGGCTGATATGGATGACAACTGGACAGACACTGAGGAAAGGGGGACGCTCTTAGGCTGCGTTAGACAGGCATCCGAATTCAAATCATTTTTTTCACTAATTGATCTTTTGACCAATCAGATCAGCTCTGAAAAAGATCTGACGTGAAAAGATCTGATGTGATTGGTCAAAAGACCAATTAGTGGAAAAAATATCCGAATTCGGCTGCCTGTGTGAACGCAGCCTCATTCAAACAGACTCGGCTGGCATCATTCATGTACATTATCGGCGGTGACAGATTGAAGAGAGGTGAAAGGCGAGGCCTGCAGGTGCATTGTCATCATTCTGCGGCTGAACTCTGACCTCATCTTGTCGTGAGGATCTGCGGGTCATGCGCTGATGATAACAGTTGGCATTGTACATACATGTACAGAACCAGTGCTCTGGTCTGCAGCCTCTCGTTGCGGTGCCAGACGAGGGCAGCGCCAACTGCCTGGAGAGACAGTGGTGATACAGACCACACAACTCTGTTGAGAACTACATCTGGTATATAGCCTACTTTGATTGCTTTACTAAAACCAATGCACTTCAGATACTTTCTCTGAAAATGTTGGCAGTGTACAACCAAGTTTAATTTCTATATGTAAATATATGCAGTCTATGCACGGGACATGGTTCTGTCAATACTGACAATACTGATGCATTTTCCAATAAAATGTTATATGACAAAAATGAGTCACTCACACCGATTATATAGCCTATTTATGAACTTCATCTTTTCACATCGTTGATGTCTTAATGATAGGCATTGTGAATAATTGACTGTATTTTGAATTCTTTATTAAGCTATAATTTCCGAGTTATCAAAAAGTTCATGTTTGAAATCAGAATAAAATCTATGAAACATCTGCAGTTATTGAATTACTTGGCACCTGGTACAATTACGCACAGTTACGCCTTTACGCACAACAATAACGCTTACATTTTTATCCACTATTCAAGCACATTCAACGCAGGAGATAGACCACACGAAACCGTAAGTCATCACGTCAGTCAGTCGTGGGGCTTGTTCGACACTGCAGCGGACAGTGCAGGCGACTGACGACTGACTGATCTACAAATCACCCTGCATCATAAATAACGACTTATTATTATTTGTAGATCAGTCAGTCAGAATTTACCAGTGGTGTAAAGTATTTAAGTAAAAATACTTTGAAGTACTACTTAAGTAGTTATTTTGGGTATCTATACTTTACTTTACTATTTATATTTTTGACTACTTTTACTTTTACTCCACTACATTCCTAAAGAAAATAATTTACTTTTTACACCATACATTTTCCCTGACACCCAAAAGTATTCGTTACATTTGGAATGCTTAACAGGACAGGAAAATGGTTCATTTCACGCACTTATCAAAATAACATCGTCCCTACTGCCTCTGATCTGGCAGACTCACTAAACACAAATGCTTAATTTGTAAATTATTTCTGAGTGTTGGAGTGTGCCCCTGACTGTCCGTAATAATAAAAAATAAAATAAAATCGTGCCATCTGGCTTGCCTAACATGAGGAATTTGAAATGATTTATACTTTTACTTTTAATACTTAAGTATATTTTAGCAATTACATTTACTTTTGATACTTAAATATATTTAAAAGCAAAGACTTTTAGACTTTTACTGAATATAACAGGAAACCTGTTCGATCACCATGCACTGCAAAATCATTCTGGCTATGGATACGGAGAACATCAACACATTAACATCAACATGCCAGAGGATATACCCATTGGACTTGGGGCTCTGCTGGGAGTTTACCTCATATTTTGATTTTTTTATTCTGCTTGCCACTAAAATCATAATAAACACTGACAACTAAAATATTGTGTGAAGTCTATGAATCCAAAAAAAATTGTAATTATACAGATGATTAACAAAACATGCACATAACAGTATTTATACCTTGGCTTTTGTGGTAAATGTGAATGAATAAAACTGTTTTGATAATGGTTTTCATACACATACCTTGTCCATAATTTAGAGGCCTATGATGGGTGGTCCTCTGTAGCTCAGCTGGTAGAGCACGGCGCTTGTAACGCCAAGGGTAGTGGGTTCGATCCCCGGGACCACCCATATACAAAAATGTATGCACGCACGACTGTAAGTCGCTTTGGATAAAAGCGTCTGCTAAATGGCTTATTATTATCTATGAGATTTTCCTTGAAGAGGTAAGGGAGGAGGATTGTACATGTGATCTGCATAACATACCAATACCAATTGACTTACCTTTGTATGCCTCCTCGGCTGTATACCTGCAGACACAGACACAAAAGTGAGCAGTTCAGTCATCTGCACCCAATACAGCTATCCTTCAACATATTCTTATAGCCTACATACTCTTACCTCTTTGTTGATTGATATCCATTGAATTGTATCCATTTTCTGTTTTAGAAAGATTTGCACAAATATGAAAATATATATGGTATCATGATAAAACAATATCAATCTAGATCATACAAGGGACAAACCTTACCTTAAATTGTGGAGATCTTTACATTTTTCAGTTAAGTGCCTGCACCTGCTGTCCTTTCAAATTCAAATGTTTCAGTTGGGCAGTTAGGTTCCTGCAAGAGCCCCCACCAACTAATGAGGTTCCTCGATGGACCCCACTTCCTATGGGGTTCTAGGAAGAACCTTTTGGGGGCAATTTTCAGTGCCAAGAACCCTAAGGTTCTTCGAACAACTTTGAAGATCTTAGAAGAACCCTTGTGGAACCTCTCATTTTTAGAGTGTAGAACCCCTCATGCCTTTTTACGCACAGCTTTGTAGCCTTTCTAGCCTATAATGAAACCTGAACCTAGGCCTGTTTGTTGTATTTCAAAATGTTTGAATGGAGATAAAGTGGTCATTGACAGCTTTCAATTTGATGCAAGCCAGGTAAATTACACTATTGCGACTCAGGACACCTGAACGGCAGGCGTAGCTCTGGCGACTAATGTAGCTCTGTCGCCATCTGTCGTGCAGTTTGTGCCGTTGTTCCCCGCCTGCCTCCTTCCAATATAATATACCACTATTTGTCACCCGTAGACCTAAAATCCACAAAAAACAGTGATAATTTTAAATACTTTATTTCAAATATAAGAATAATTTCGAGAACTCAAATGGACAAACATACAGAGAAAGTAAATAATTAGATTATTATTAATAAAATATTGAAGCAACTTCACTCAGAAAAAAAACACTGACAGAATAATCCTGAATAATAATAGTCTCCTAAAGCTGGCTCTAAATTAAAAGTACTGAAATAACTATTATCCAAAAGCAGTAATAACACGACTAATATTGCATTAGTTTCACACAGTAAATTAAATATAATGTGTGTAATATGTTCACAACAACAGGTTGTCTCAGCCCAACAAATGCTATTACATGTTCTAAATGCTACATTCATTACTATGTTACAATGTTAAATATTTATTTATCAATTCCTACAGTGTAGGAGTGAGCATTTGATACAAAAACATAATTGGCATATTTATTGTTAAACATATTTGGATAAAGCAAGTAATCAGTGTATTTAAAATCCACAGCAATATATAAATACAGACTTCCAGTGTGAGATCTTAAACAGAGTATATTGTATGGAATAGAAGGATAGATAGGCCCCTGCACTCACTGATATGGTTTCAGAGGTGTATCATCATCAGTCTCCATGGCATCCATGTCAGACGGTGTTGTTGTGGTTGTTGGGGCCTCTCCACTGGAATGGGTCTTGCAGTATTGGTTCTGTGTCGAAAGAACCTCCTTTTCTTTGGCCGAGGCAGAGAGGTCAGAATTCACTGGTGCATTCTGGTATAAGGAGTCATTGGAGCTCTTGTCCAGGATGTTATGGTAGAGCTAAGAGAGAAAAGGGGCATAGTAAGAAATGACAAGAAATCATGATTCTAATGGAATGCTGTGTGCTAGCCCGTTGTAAAGTTTGATACGTCTACATTGAGGCTTGTTGTGTGTTTGAGACCCACCTTCTCCTCCATGTCAGCCAGTTGGTCGCCCATGAAGGCCACCAGCTTGGAGAAGTGAGGACGGTCCCGAGGCTCCCGTGCCCAGCACTTGCACATCATCTTATACCTGCGGGAGGGAGGGAGGGAAAGGGGGATGAAACCTCCTTTACAGTTCATATACACTGCTCCAAAAAATAAAGGGAACACTAAAATAACACATCCTAGATCTGAATGAATGAAATAATCGTATTAAATACTTTTTTCTTTACATAGTTGAATGTGCTGACATCAAAATCACACAAAAATTATCAATGGAAATCAAATTTATCAACCCATGGAGGTCTGGATTTGGAGTCACCCTCAAAATTAAAGTGGAAAACCACACTACAGGCTGATCCAACTTTGATGTAATGTCCTTAAAACAAGTCAAAATGAGGCTCAGTAGTGTGTGTGGCCTCCACGTGCCTGTATGACCTCCCTACAACGCCTGGGCATGCTCCTGATGAGGTGGCGGATGGTCTCCTGAGGGATCTCCTCCCAGACCTGGACTAAAGCATCCGCCAACTCCTGGACAGTCTGTGGTGCAACGTGGCGTTGGTGGATGGAGTGAGACATGATGTCCCAGATGTGCTCAATTGGATTCAGGTCTGGGGAACGGGTGGGCCAGTCCATAGCATCAATGCCTTCCTCTTGCAGGAACTGCTGACACACTCCAGCCACATGAGGTCTAGCATTGTCTTGCATTAGGAGGAACCCAGGGCCAACCGCACCAGCATATGGTCTCACAAGGGGTCTGAGGATCTCATCTCGGTACCTAATGGCAGTCAGGCTACCTCTGGCGAGCACATGGAGGGCTGTGCGGCCCCCCAAAGAAATGCCACCCCACACCATGACTGACCCACCGCCAAACCGGTCATGCTGGAGGATGTTGCAGGCAGCAGAACGTTCTCCACGGCGTCTCCAGACTCTGTCACGTCTGTCACGTGCTCAGTGTGAACCTGCTTTCATCTGTGAAGAGCACAGGGCGCAGTGGCGAATTTGCCAATCTTGGTGTTCTCTGGCAAATGCCAAATGTCCTGCACGGTGTTGGGCTGTAAGCACAACCCCCACCTGTGGACGTCCGGGCCCTCATACCACCCTCATGGAGTCTGTTTCTGACCGTTTGAGCAGACACATGCACATTTGTGGCCTGCTGGAGGTCATTTTGCAGGGCTCTGGCAGTGTTCCTCCTGCTCCTCCTTGCACAAAGGCGGAGGTAGCAGTCCTGCTGCTGGGTTGTTGCCCTCCTACGGCCTCCTCCACGTCTCCTGATGTACTGGCCTGTCTCCTGGTAGCACCTCCATGCTCTGGACACTACGCTGACAGACACAGCAAACCTTCTTGCCACAGCTCGCATTGATGTGCCATCCTGGATGAGCTGTACTACCTGAGCCACTTGTGTGGGTTGTAGACTCCGTCTCATGCTACCACTAGAGTGAAAGCACCACCAGCATTCAAAAGTGACCAAAACATCAGCCAGGAAGCATAGGAACTGAGAAGTGGTCTGTGGTCACCACCTGCAAAACCAGTCCTTTATTGGGGGTGTCTTGCTAATTGCCTATAATTTCCACCTGTTGTCTATTCCATTTGCACAACAGCATGCAAAATTTATTGTCAATCAGTGTTGCTTCCTAAGTGGACAGTTTGATTTCACAGAAGTGTGATTGACTTGGAGTTACATTGTGTTGTTTAAGTGTTCCCTTTATTTTTTTGAGCAGTGTATTTGATTGTAATTAAATGTGTATGATGTATAGACGTAGGTGCAGAGTGGTTGTGGATACTTACACAGATTCACTGGCATAGTACGGTTGCTCCATCTTAAAACCTCTCTCTATCAACAAATAGAAGTTGTTGTCCACCTTTATCCCCGGGTAGGGGGTCACACCTTAGAGGGAGAGGGAGAGATGGAGAGAGAAAGGGGTAGGGAAAGAGAGGGAGGGAGAGAGATGGAGAGAGAAAGGGGTAGGGAGAGAGAGGGAGAGATGGAGAGAGAAGGGGGGTAGGGAGAGAGAGGGAGAGAGAGATGGAGAGAGAAAGGGGTAGGGAGAGAGAGGGAGAGGGAGAGATAGAGATAGAAAGGGGTAGGGAGAGAGAGGGAGAGGGAGAGATAGAGATAGAAAGGGGTAGGGAGAGAGAGGGGAGAGATGGAGAGAGAAGGGGGGTAGGGAGAGAGAGGGAGAGATAGAGATAGAAAGGGGTAGGGAGAGAGAGGGAGAGATGGAGAGAGAAAGGGGTAGGGAGAGAGAGGGAGAGGGAGAGAGAGAGGGAGAGGGAAAGGGGTAGGGAGAGAGAGGGAGAGGGAGAGAGAGAGTGAGAGGGAAAGGGGGTAGGGAGAGAGAGGAAGAGGGAGAGAGGGAGAGAGGGAGAGGGAAAGGGGTAGGGAGAGAGAGAGAGAGGGAGAGGGAGGGAGAGAGGGGGAAAGGGGTAGGGAGAGAGAGGGAGGGGGAAAGGGGTAGGGAGAGAGAGGGAGAGGGAGGGAGAGAGGGAGAGGGAAAGGGGTAGGGAGAGAGGGAGAGAGAGGGAGGGAGAGGGAGGAAGAGAGCAAATCACATATAATAAAGATGCAGGGAATACATCTATAATAAGTGTGTGTACAGTATGTATGCCCCCCCATCCTAAACATACTCCTGGCGGCCCCACCTCATCCCCAACCTCGGTCAACACACACTATAAAGGACAAAATCAAATCATGACAATAAATAAAAAGAAAGAGTAGGTATGTCCCGTGTAGCTCAGTTGGTAGAGCATGGTGCTTGCAACGCCAGGGTTGTGGGTTCGATTCCCACGGGGGGCCAGTATGAAAATGTATGCACTCACTAACTGTAAGACGCTCTGGATAAGAGCGTCTGCTAAATGACTAAAATGTAAATGTAAAATGTATGTTTATGTAGCTACCCAGAGAGAAGACCTCCCACAGCAGGATACCATAGGCCCAGACATCGCTCTGCATGGTGTACATCCCCTGGAAGATACTCTCTGGAGCCATCCACTTCACTGGCAGACGCACCTGCGACACAACACAACACATCAGACACACACACCGACACTGCATGCCTAGAACAGAGCTGTTGTCACTGACAACAGAGCATCTGTAGAATACAGACAAACACTCCTTTCTGTGTATAGTACCTACATTTCCTCTCACTACGTAGTTGGAGTCGTTCTCGATGTCCCGGGCCAGTCCAAAGTCTCCGATCTTTACAAGTCCACCCTGAGCCACCAACACGTTCCTGGCCGCAAGGTCCCGATGGATACACTGGAGACAGAAACACACACCCAAGATAGAGAGAGGGTGTGTAGGGAGTAATGATGTGGGGTATAGGGAGTATTATATGTTTTTGCAGTGAGCACAGCCTTGTATGAGGGGACATGGGGCAGTGTGCAGTATTGTCACTCAACGTACGTGCTTGGAGGACAGGAAGTCCATGCCTTTGGCCACCTGGTAGGAAAAGCTGAGCAGGTCGTTATAGGTCAGTGCCTGCTTCTCCTCCTCCTCCTCCTCCTGCAGCTCCTCATAGATCCCTGGACCTGTGGATCAACACAAATCAGCTGGGGTCAACGGGATCCACTGGCCAGCAGTGAAGAGATCCTACAGATGTTTTTAACTGTGCTGCTGTATACATAAGCATGTCTATTTCTTAATTTGTGTGTGTGTCTACCCCACACTGACCATCCGAGGTGTCCATGGGAGAGGAGTTGAGGCTGAGGAGGGCGATGCTCTCGTGCCCTCTAGTGGAGCTCCTCTTGGGCAGGTTGTGGTAAAGGCTGCTGAAGCGATCCCTGGTGAAGGCCTCGGTCAGAGACTTGTGGTACAGCTCTCTGTTGTTCTTCAGGTAGTTCAGCAGGTCCCCATTACGGCAGTACTGGAAGATCAGGTACGTGGGCCCTGTCAAGAGACACACAGCCACAGAGTCAGATACACACATTCACAGAGTCACACACACACAGGCGCTTAGAGACAGTCCTAAATACACATGTACTCGTTTCAATACAATATCTAAAGACATGTTCTTGGCAATTACATGTTGTAGTTATTCCTGTTTTATTTCTGCTAGATGCTGGTTTCTGAGCCTGTCTGTGATTGGCTGTCGTACCTGAGCCAGTGCATGCCCCCAGCAGGTTAACGACGTTGGCATGCTGTCCGATGTGAGTCAGCATCTTCAACTCTGACATCAGAGCCTCCTTCTCCACTGTCTCATGCTTCTCTGCATGGGCAAACATCAACACTCAACAACAACCTGAGTGACTTCACTGGTGCAGGGTATGTAAAATAGTAATAGTGTGGGTCTTCAGCAAACACCAACACTTAGCCAGCAGTGTACAACATCACACAGGTAAAACCCTGTACCTTTCAGCATCTTGACAGCCACCTGCAGGGAGATCCCAGGCTTGCTGATGCCGTAGGCTGTAGCCTGAACCACCATGCCAAAGGCCCCAGAGCCTAGCTCCTTCCCTGAGGAGAAAGACCACAACACAGGGTTGGTGGGAATACTATTGGTGAGGCTGGCTGTACTGGAGACTAGAGATTCCCAGGTAGATGGGTCAGGCAAAGTCATTTCACTGGTACATCTCCCCAGTCTTACCCAGCTCCAGGTTCTCTCTGGGGAACTCCCATTTCTGGTTGTACCGGAAGTCTTTGAAGTTGATGTAGATGTAGTCGTTGTCATTAGGCCCTACCATCTGGATCATCTGCACCTGACTCTGGTACTGGGGTTTCTACACACAACATATCAGGAGGGTGTGTGAGAATGTTTGAGTGTGGTGAACAAGTCTGTCTGTGTGTGTGTGTGTGTGTGTGTGTGTGTGTGTGTGTGTGTACCTTCTTCCTGATGAAGTAGAGTAGCGCCACGCTGACCAGCATCAACGCCAGGAACAGAACCAGACTGGACACCTTCAGGAGTTGAGAGGAGTTGGAGGCTGATAGAACACACATCAACAGATATAACCAATATCTGACAACAGCCATGACAACACTGTGACCAATTCTGTTCCACACTGGAGCCATGACAACACTGTGACCAATTCTGTTCCACACTGGAGCCATGACAACACTGTGACCAATTCTGTTCCACACTGGAGCCATGACAACACTGTGACCAATTCTGTTCCACACTGGAGCCATGACAACACTGTGACCAATTCTGTTCCACACTGGAGCCATGACAACACTGTGACCAATTCTGTTCCACACTGGAGCCATGACAACACTGTGACCAATTCTGTTCCACACTGGAGCCATGACAACACTGTGACCAATTCTGTTCCACACTGGAGCCATGACAACACTGTGACCAATTCTGTTCCACACTGGAACCATGACAACACTGTGACCAATTCTGTTCCACACTGGAGCCATGACAACACTGTGACCAATTCTGTTCCACACTGGAGCTATGATGACAACCATTATAAAAACAATTATTTTTGGAGGACTTGTTTTTCCTGACTGACCACTTACGTTGTTTGAACGTACGCTGCAGTGGAAAGACCATTCTTGCATTGAACAGTGACTCGCTGCAGTGTGACTGTGAGTGGACCGAGTTTGTAATGCAGCACTTGACAAAGTGGTTCCCCACCTCTGCACTTTCCAGGGAGCTGAGGACATTCTTATGGCAGAACTGGTCTGAGTCACAGAGCTCTGTGGGAGTGGCAGGGATCTCCTTCCAGGCTGCAGACTCTGACTGACAGCTAGGGGATGGGGGGCAGGTTAACAAACACAGGTGAACACACACACAGGTAAACATGTAGGGTTGGTTTCCCAGACACAGCCTAATCCTGGACTAAAAAGCAAGATCAATGGAGAATCTCTATTGAAAATGATCTTAGTTTGTGTCAGGGAAACCGCCCCATAAATTTGCTTCAGTTGTTAAGTAGGGATGGGCAACGATATGGACAATTGATATCAGTTGCATTTTTAAAAACCAATATCGATATCATATCGGTTTGAATGAATAACATTGCACTGGCTTTATGCAGTTCAGACAACTTTTTGCTGATTGACCATTGGGCCAAGTGTGAATGTTCTTGGGGCCTAACCTACAGTTGAATACAATGGGAACCCTGTTGATGGCCAATCAGCAGGCATTTAAGTAGGCTTATGCTAAATTGAGAGTCTGTAAGAGCATTGCAGGAACAGTCATGTATACTTTTTACATAATAGTGTAGGTTAACAAAAGGAAGCGTGGAGAAAGAGATGAAGAACAGTGGCCTATCATGGAAAACCATCCCCCAAAAGGCAGAAGACCAGCAGAAGTGGCGCTCTCTTGTGGAAGCATTATGTTCCAAATAGGAATGAAGAGGACTAAGTAAGTAAGTAAGTAAGTAAGCAAATACCTAGCTAGCACATTTGGTTCCTTGGAAGTTGTGGGAAAGTAGGTTCCAGAGAACGTTTTACTATGGTTCCCTGAAAGTTTTCCTGGGAGGTTTTATTAACGTTCTGAGAACGGAAATTATAGGTTATTTGAAGATAATTAATTAACGTTCTGAGAACATGTTTCAATAAGACTTTTAATAACACTGCTAGCTTAGGTTAATGGTTTTGAACTCCAAGCAAAGATTGGACACATGGAAATTAATTTGCTTAGGCATTAATCATGCAAACACATTTCTTTTTTATTGTGGCACGACGTCAGTAATATTTGAACCTATGATCTCCTGTTTTCTATCCATGGAATTAGTCGACTATGCCACCAGGATGGAGCTAGCGTGCCATGTTTTTTTTAACTAATACAAAGCTGTTCATTTTAGTCTATTTAAACAAACCCCATTTAAACAAGCACTCATTAAGATCAGGTGCGGCCAAATAGTGGGTGCACCTGAACACACTTAACAAGACAAAGGATTGAGAGAAAGTTTTGTTGACGCTGAGAATGGAATGTATATGTTTTTAAATAACATTCCTAGAATGTTCTTAGAACGTTACTCATGTTTTCTTGTGTTTTTATGAAACGTTTGCTTAATGTTCTTAGAACATTACTTTAAATAGAACCATGACGAATCCTGCAGAAACCGTTATGCTGAAGTACTGAAATTTCCACAGAAGAACGTTGTTTCTTAATGTTCTCTGAACGTTCTGAGAACATTACTTTAAATAGAACCATGAAATTGCCACTTAAGAAAAATGTGGTTCTCAGAACATTATGTGCTAGCTGGAAATCCTGCATTCCCAGAACTTTGTGGGAAGGTTGTATGCAAAATAACTATAGGACAACCACACTCTCACCAAGCTCTAAGAAACATATGGTTCTTAGAACGTTATGTGCTAGCTGGGTAGGTTAACAGGAACAATAACCAATATCAAGATATGCCTTGCTTATGTCGATTTCAAATGATATCGATATCATATCGATATTGGTGCCCACCACTAGTGTTAAGATATAGAGCTGAATCCTAACATGAGAAACTCGGGCCTAAATCTACAGGTACCTGTCATTGGACAGAGAGCACAACCTCCAGGTGAGGTTGAAGGGGAGGGGGCTTTCGGTCTTACAGGTGATGTTGTCTTCTTTCTGGAAGAGAATGGGGGTGGACATATCTGAGAGACAGAGGAGGAGGACAGGTGAGGACAGGTGTCTTACTGAGGAGTCATGCACACAATCACAAGTCTTATCTGACTGGGCAGTCGGCTGTCACTCACTTGCCACACAGAGAGAGAGGGTCTTTGTGAGGTTCAGCTCCCCAGTCTCCAGGTGTAACTGGTAGTCTCCTGGCTCAGGGTTACATAGCTCCAGAGTCCTGAGGGGGGGGGACAGAACCATATGGAATCGTGTTAAACCTTATTGAACCAAACGTAACCTCATCAAACCTCGTAGATAGACCTTTAGTAAAGCTTTATAAAACTGCAACAGAAACACCAAATAGAACATGGATATGGCAGTATGTCCTAGATTAAATTAAGTCTCAGGAAGCCCACACAGAGACCACCAGCCTTACCCTACCTGTTCTTCCACAGCCGTGTGGGTTCAGGGCACTGCGTCTGTATGCCGCCCGGGCCCAGCCAATGGCAGCGTAGGCGAGGGTGTGAGGAGACCAGGGCCCGCAGACAGAACCCTGGCTTCTCCTGGGCTGAGATGGTACTGCTCTCATTCAGCTGGTCGATGGAAATGAAGCCCTTCTCTGAGGACACACAACACCAGAAATCACACGGAAATCACTTGGAAATCCAATTTTGGGAGAGAAAAAAACAGGTAGGTGGTGGTGGTAGGGAGAGAATCAGGACAGATGACAAGAAAGTATCTGACAGATGAGTAAAGACCAAGTAAAGATAGACATTTAAAAAAAGGGCAAGGGAATGTTTGACTGAAAAGAAAAGGTACAAAGAGGATTCAGTGTTGTTGCCTCTCACTGACCCAGGACCCGGATGTGGGTGTACTTGATCTTGTTCTTGTCACTCCGGCAGGTGTAGATGCCACTGTGGTTCACTCTCACCGACGCAATGAACAGGTAAGTCATATCTATTCCTTTATATGATAGTCGATATGTCGACACCTGGAGGAAAAGATGGTAGACTGCATTATCTCAAATACAGTGAACAAGTCATGGAGAGAAAAGTGAAATGGTTCTGGTCATATGTTTTCAACAGTGGAAATAAAAGGTTGATGAATGAGTGATAAAGTTGACCTGTTCCTGTTTATCAGTCAGCCACTGTGTGGTGCTGGCTCTCTCCCTACAGCGGAGCAGCAGGGCCTGACCCGGGCTCAGAGTGATCTCTGGAGCTTCATCATCATCATCATCATCCACACTACGGCTGCGGTCCAAGTCTGAGACACACACAGGAAGCCAACAGACCACACATCAATCAGTACTGAGTGCCTTTAATTCCATTTTGTTTTTTTGGGCATTGTGTTTACACTTTTACAATAATACTAACCATAGTCATAAAGTTGAGAACACTCCTCTCCTTTGGGGTTAGTAGCACAGCACATAACTGTTGTCTTGCTGTATAGTTTACTTCCCTCTGTGTTGTTGGACCTCTCTGAATCCTTAGATGTCTCATTCCCATGACTACCCTTTCTGATGGAGAGGAGGAGAAAGTAAAGCATGTAGCCATCCTTGAAGAGGTCCTACACATGAAACTCATGTCAAAACCCTGAAGAAACTCCTTTAAGATTCTATATTATTTTCACCACAGTTTACCCAGTCTTGTCAAGGTTATTGAACCATTTGATTTCTGGCTTGGGGTTTCCCTCTGAAGAACACTGGAAGTTAGGTAAAAAGCCTCTTCCCCCAGGGATATATTTCAGATGTGGCTTTGAGGGACATCCTGGAGGTAACCAATGGGAGAATGAACCATAGCTAGGAATTTCAATGTGGTTCAGAATCATGATGATGATATAGATGTTATTTGACTTTAATGTGGTGTAGATCAGAATCTGATGTCATATTAGTGGTTTAGAAAAGAACATGGGTCTGTCACTCACTCAGTGGAGGTCCAACCAGTAGAGAGAGCGTCAGGGAGGAGATGATGCCGCCTCTCACACAGCTGAAGGAGTACTCTCCAGAATCACTCACAGATGTCTGTGGTATGGCCATAGAATAGCCCCCTCTGTTGGTGCAATAATGATACAACGACACAGTGGCCTTGCGGCGCCGGGTAACACAACAAAGACAAACGCACACACACACACACACACCTACCTACCTTATTGGGCCAGCTCCATGGCTCCAGCTGCAGACAGGGTCTCCTGGGAGGCTTTGCATGATGATATGGAGGCTCTGCCCAGCAGGGACCTCTAGTCTGGTAGGACCAGAACCATTCAGATGGGCTTCAGACAGAGTACACCACACATCCTGGAAAACAGAACAAAGTGTCACCATGTCAGGGAGAGAGAGTCAGAGAGGATGATCAGCTGTAACATTTTAGTCATTTAGCAGACACTCTTATCCAGAGCAACTTACAGTTAGTGAGTACATACATTATTATACTGGCCCCCCATGGGAATCAAACCAACAACCCTGGCGTTGCAAACACCATGCTCTACATCCCTGCCGGCCATTCCCTCCCCTGGGACAATTGTGCCCCACCCCATGGGTCTCCTGGTCACGGCCGGCTACGACAGAGCCTGGATTCAAACCAGGATCTCTAGTGGCACAGCTAGCACTGCAATGAAGTGCCTTAGACCACTGCGCCACTCGGGAGGTTAATGAGGTGGCCTTTGAGGTGAATAGAGATCAGTATTCATAATATTCATGAAGTTGTTCAAACACAGATGTCAGACATTCATCGAACTTTGTTTTACATTTGGAAAGTACGAGAAGCCTGGCGAGAATGTAAATTCTACATTTCTTGACTTTCTATTAAAATAGCAGTTGTGCTTTTGTTCTCTGAGTCTAGGACACATTTAGAGGACTGCATCTATAAGCATGTGTTCTGACGCCTTTTTCCACAGTATATGACAGAAACAGATAGGCTAGTAGGTGTGGTGCCAAGGAGGTTGGTGGCAGCTTAATTGAGGAGAACGGGCTCGTGGTAATGACTGGAGCGGAATTACTGGAATGGTATTAAATACATCAAACACATGGTTTCCACGATCCATTCCATTCTCCCCTCAGCAGCCTAGTGTGGTGTGGTGCTATATCAACACCACTAACTGTGAGTTTACACCTTCCTCTCTTATGCATTGTTATTCCTTTGACCTTGAGGTCAGAGCAGAAATATATCTGCTTTTCAGAGTTATGTTAGGACTGCAGAATTTCACTTTTATTATCACAGACCTACACAATATATGATCAGAGCAATCCAGCATCCTTCTGCAATGCAATGTGAAGTGACATTAGGCCACACAGCCCACCACTAGAAAAATCTCAAAGATAAATGCACATGAGCTGACAAACAAACAGGTTTACTGTTTGTGAGGTTGATCTCAAAAGTGGGACTCAGCCACAGACTACCAACCTTTCACTTTAATAAGTAATGAAAGAGGAACCGAAGCAAGCGGGGACAGGACACAGGTATTTTCAAAATCTGATTGATCATTTAGGCTTACAGTAAGTGACCGGTCAGTTTGGTCCATTAATCCCACGGATGCACAGTTACGATCAGTTTAGGCACCTACCGTCAGGCTGGTGGTGATACAGTACGCTCGAGGTGGGTCTCGCTGAGGCTGCAACTCGTCTCCATCACAAAGAGCGCACAGCAACAGGAGCGCAGCTGGAGAAACAGAGAACCAAATCAACGAAAACCAAATTACTTTATAATAGCTAATCAAGGCGTAGATTCATCAATTTGTTGCAATGTTTTTCTTTCAGATTAAGACAAAGAAAATGTACTTTTGAAGCACACAAAACTGCAAAATTATGCGCAGCAGATGGATGATATTGGGTCAATTGCGACTATGGGAATGTATAAAATGCAGCATATAGTTTTGTGCAACATTTACATTTTACAAAATAATTAGCTAGACTGAATTATTTTATTTTATTTTAAAATATATTTGGGGAATATATAGGCTAGGATATGTATTGTTACTTTAGGGTTATCTAATAAAACAGTCGTTGGACAAGCTTATGAATAAGGCAACCAAGTAGCTAAATAACAAATTTTCCAATGATTATTTTTGCTATAAAAACATTGTTGATGATGATTTTAATAACTCACCGACACTAACTCTCCTCTTTCCCTTCATTGGCGATTGGTTTTCAACGTATGTCGCTTTGTCTCACAATGAGAAGGTCTCGAGAGCGAAGCCCCAATAAGTTATATTTTAATTGTGACGTTTCATCTGGTGTGCAGTTCTTTTTCAGAGACTTCTCTGTGACGCTGGGTTCATGACGTTATCACAGTTACTTTGAATGACTGGTCACAAAAATGGGGATGGTTGGCTATTAAAACCTGGTGATGAACTAGTCTAGAGCTTATAGGCCCTAATGCAAGTACAGCCTACCTATTTTCTGGAAATCTTTCTAATAACCTAATAGGCTACAATGACATTAAAGAGTAACTTTCATGACAAAAAAATGTTTAATCGAAAATCAGATGTTTTAGGCTTAGTTATAGTGAAACATGTTAATATGGTCTTCATTTTGGTAATTCGTTGCAAAAGTGATATTTTGGTATTTTAGTAGTAAATCTAGCTCTTTTTGCCCCCTAGCCGTTCAACTCTACCATTGAAATCGTGATGTAGAGTGCCTCTGCTTTATCTCAAGGGAGGGGTTCCGTGTGAAATACACTGTGCTGCAGCGCAGGCTGGTGAGGGGAGGACAGCTCATAATAATGTCTGGAGCAGAGCAAATGGATTGGCATCAAACACCTGGAAACCATGTGTTTGATGCATTTGATACCATTCCACTAATTCCGCTCCAGTCATTACCACGAGCCGTCCAATGCTTCCTTGACTACTGATGTTACTAAAAAGGCAGTAAGGCACATTTCCGCATATCAAATCAAATAAAATTTTATTTGCCACATGCGCCAAATACAACAGGTGTAGACATTACCGTGAAATGCTTACTTACAGCCCTTAACCAACAATGCATTTATTTTTTAATAAAAAAGTAAAATAAAACAACAACAAAAAAAAGTGTTGAGAAAAAAAGAGCAGAAGTAAAATAAAATAACAGTAGGGAGGCTATATACATGGGGGTACCGGTGCAGAGTCAATGTGCGGGGGCACCGGCTAGTTGAGGTAATATGTACATGTGGGTAGAGTTAAAGTGACTATGCATAAATAATTAACAGAGTAGCAGCAGCATAAAAATATGGGGTGGGGGGGGGGGGGGGGGGGGGGGGGGTAGAAGCTAGCTGTTCAGGAGTCTTATGGCTTGGGGGTAGAAGCTGTTGAGAAGCCTTTTGGACCTAGACTTGGTGCTCCGGTACCGCTTGCCGTGTGGTAGCAGAGAGAACAGTCTATGACTAGGGTGGCTGGAGTCTTTGACAGTTTTGAGGGCCTTCCTCTGACACCGCCTGGTATAGAGGTCCTGGATGGCAGGAAGCTTGGCCCCAGTGATGTACTGGGCCGTACGCACTACCCTCTGTAATGCCTTGCGGTCAGAGGCTGAGCAGTTGCCATACCAGGCGGTGATGCAACCAGTCAGGATGCTCTCGATGGTGCAGCTGTGGAACTAAATTCAACGTTTTTGCTTACTGTTTCATACACAGTACAGTAGGCTATGACTGAAAATGTTGTTGTGTTGTTTGATGCAAGAAACCTCTTTACAAAATAAAATGCATCATTATTCCCATACCATTATTACACAGAATTTGACAAATTATGCTACCCTCTGCCTATTGGCTACTTAGCTTATTCAAGCCTGTCTCAAAAAACAACACCCCTTTAAGACAAAAAAAAAGCTCTTTACCTGACTGGCTCTTGAAAGATGTCTGGAAATGTACACAAGTTTTGTGCTCTTGTAGGAAGCAGTCACTCCCCTATTGCTGACTACAAATTATCTATAACTGGGCTAATAACTCAGTAACTAGCAAAGGATATGAACAAATGTACAAATGTGCACATGCTCACTACATATAGCTCTCCCTTTGATCTCAAAACAAGCGCATCTACTCATGACCGCTCACGCTGTTATAACAGTCCAGTTCAAAGTAAATGGCGCAGATCCATATATTGCAAAGGTCTATTTGCATATAGGCCTACTGCATCTCTGATTGCTTATGGAGCACCCGTACGGGCCTGACTCGTGCCTATCAATGCAATAGAATCCTGCTCAGGTGCGTTCTGCCTACAACAAAATCAGTTTTGCATACTAAGTCTTGCATAGTTCGTTTTGTTTTCGGTATGTCGCATTGAAAGTGGCTAATATTGCGTTAATTCGATCACAATTCCCACAGTAAAGCGAAACGTTGATAGTTTTATCTTAAGGGAAAACTCTAGAAAGATGAGTGAAGTTCAATCTCCTGCTTCTCTCCAGGGGCTGATATGTATTCTGCTTGGCAGTCCAGGGGGAGCTGCATGCAGTTTAGAGTGAACATTGGTGATCATTTTTATAATTTATAATGCCATTTAGCAGACGCTTTTATCCAAAGCGACTTACAGTCATGCGTGCATAATTTTTATTTTTTTAACATATCATGTCAACTAAGATGTATTTTCCCCCAGTCACTATGACTGATTGGTGTTGCAGTCAGCCAAAACAGTCATAGCAGTGGGAAGGAGTGGTGCTGAGGGTGCTGCATCACCCCCTGAAATCGAAAATTTTAATATATATATATATATATATATATATTTTTTTTTTTTACAAAACTAGTACACTGGGCCTTTACTAGTCCTTTATTAGTGGACCTATATAGCCATCTGTATCACAGGCAAAACATATATTTGTTTGAACATTTATTTTTTTCACAAAAGTAGTGCAGTGGGCATTTACTATTCCTGTATTAGCGGACCAATATAGCAGTCTGTAGCGCAGGCACGTTTTTTTATCATCGCACCTCTCCCTCGACAGAAAATTCTCCGAACATGTTCCTGCGGCTATGAAAACAGTTGGCTCAAAGTTCAATGGTTGTCAGTTTTAATCCCACATGGGGCAGATATATATATATTTTAATCACACTTCTGAAAAGTGACAGCATACCTGTGAGACCGGGTCGCCCTGGGTGGTAGTAGTTGTAGGGTTTTATACAGTACCCAAAACCAAACTGTGAGTTAATTTGACCATTGGAAAAAGAGCTACTGGGTAAATATTGCAATTCGGGTTGGTTGGAATTGAGCCCCTAATCTTAATTTTCAAGGTGTCAATTGCACTTTTCTTCCCAACCCACAACCTGGTCTCAGAGCACTTGGCATTATTATTGATGTAAATCCGATACACTTTCGTCATTTAGCAGACGCTCTTATCCAGAGCCATTTACAGTTAGTGGGTGCATACATTTTTCATACTGGTAGTATGATATGTTACGTTTTGTATGTATTAATTTGTGGATGTCCATCATCCATTTCGTATCATATGTTATGAATTACAATTCGTATGATATGTTATGAATTTGCTAAACGTATGATATGTTACGAATTCCAATTAGCTGTGGCTAATGTTAGCTAGGTGGCTAACGGTAACGTTAGCTAGCTAGCTAACGTTAGCTAGGCTAGGGGTTAGGGTTAAGGTTATGGTTAGGAGTTAAGTTAAAGTGTTAAGGTTAGGGGAAGGGTTAGCTAACATGCTAAGTAGTTGCAAAGTAGCTAAAAAGTAGTAAGTAGTTGAAAAGTTGCTAATTAGCTAAAATGTTAAAGTTGTCCATGATGAGATTATTCTGTTTTATGTAACCATACCAAACATAACATATTAACTTGTGTGTCCCAGATTTACGCTTACTATGTTACCTCTGATAATAATATTATTATTGTAGGCGGCCAGTGCTTGACTTGGGCAGGAGCTCACCTGAGCTGAGTACCCGGCACTTCACATTTTCTACTGCCTGAGCTCCTGTTCCTCTTATAGAATATTAGCTCAAAAGTATTGTGGTGCACCTAAATATAAACAGTACCAGCACCCAAAATGAGTACCGGAACCTATTTCAGTCCAAGTCAAGCACTGTGTAGGCCTCTAGCCCTACATCCTTTATTTTACAGACATTCTTTATCAAGTTATTATACTGAACAAAAATATAAATGCAACATGCAACAATTTCAACGAGTTTACTGAGTTACAGTTAATATAAGGAAATCAGACAATTGAAATAAATGAATTTGGCCCTAATCTATGCATTTCACATGACTGGACAGCGGTGTGGGGGCATAAGCCCACCCACTGGGGAGCCAGGCTCAGCCAATCAGAATGAGTTTTTCCCCACAAAAGGGCTTTATTACAGACAGAAATACTCCTCAGTTTCATCAGCTGTCCGGGTGGCTGGTCTCAGACGATCCCGCAGGTGAAGAAGCCGGATGTGGAGGTCCTGTGCTGATGTGGTTACATGTGGTCTGTGGTTGTGAGGCCGGTTGGACCTACTGCCAAATTCTCTAAAATGACGTTGGAGGCGGCTTATGGTAGAGAAATGAACATTCAATTCTCTGGCAACAGCTTTGGTGGACCTCAAAATTTGAGGGATGTAAAAAAATGTGTGCACAACATTGTTAACAAATAAGCTTTTTGTGCATATGGAACATTTCTGGGATCTTTTATTTCAGCTCATGAAACATGGAACCAACACTTTACATGTTGTGTTTATATTTTTGTTCCCTATACTTTCATAATTGCCAACATAATACAAATCACGAGTAATCCAATGATTGATGAAATGTTAAAGGGAAACTGTTAGCTGCAACAAAATAACAGACCTACCTAAATGTTAGCTTGCTACAACGTGACATTCAGCCTTTTGTGGGACATATGTGGTTTGCTACATCACAGAGGTGTAATATCAAACGTCACGTGCACCCATATCATCTCATGCACGACTGCATAGCCTATAAAACTTATGATTGGGTTTGGGTGACGACTTTCTGTTTTGGAAATCGTTGGTTTTGTCCACAGACCAAAAGCTACGAACTGATTCTGTCCCTCAAAGCCGCTCCAAATGTTGCTGGCTTTTGCCGTAACGTTAGAAGCTTGCAAGCTTCCCATAATGCAATGCAATGCTAGCTGGGGTCTATTCATTACGGAAACCGTTTAAGAACCAAACTGAAGCAAACAGAGCAAAACGAGAGTTTCTATTGGACACATTCAGGTAGAACCCTTCCCGTTTCGTTCCGTTTGCTTCCGTTTAAGAAACGTTTTGCAACCGAACTGGCGTAATGAATACGCCACTGTTTTTTTTTTTTTTTTTTTTTTGCGGAATAGCTAGCCAGAGAGCAGAAAACAACAACAGCAGCGTGAACTAGGCTAAACAACAGGCTAGCTAGCTAAGCTAGTTACATGGATAGCGACAACAGCGACCAGGATTTATCAAACGCAATGCCCTTAGCTATCTTAATTATTTGTCATTTAGCCGGATAATGTGAGTAATGTAATTTTAAGCGAGGACAAAACATATTTGCTGTTGCATATCGCTTTGCATTGACATTACGAACCCTGCTCGAGAGCAAGCTACCTAGCAATCGACGTCTCTCTATGTTTGAATATCTTCCGGTGGCAGCGGCAGCAGCGGTGCCATGAACAGTGGACTCCCAGCTTCAGCTGCTCCGCTCGCGGGTGTCGGAATACCCTGCGTCAAGGTGAAGTTCTGCCGATACTACGCAAAGGATAAGACTTGCTTTTATGGGGACGAGTGTCAGTTTTTGCACGAGGAGCCGTCCATGGCAAGCATGTCCCTTCACGGCGGAGCAAGCCCTGTCCCTTTATCCATGTCTGGAGGAGCCGTGACGGCTGCAGGGTATCCTCTTAGTGCACCCCCGGCCTGCCAGGTTGGGGTACCGAACGTCCCCAAAAAGGGCGACTCTCTGGGGCCTGCAGGCACGGCTCTGGAGGGACAGATGTTAACCAGTGAGTATATTTCGTCTGTTTGTCCCGGTCCGATACGACAGGGCCTAGCACAACCTCATCGGTGGTTGTTACTTTTTGGGCGTGTGAGGGGCTTTGTTAACATTGAGCCCGGGGATTCTTTGAGGCCTCTTTCCCCCCAAAACAACGTGGGCTAAACAACGTTTTTTAAGCTACACAATCAAACATAACTAATTAAAGTGTCAGAGCACTAAGCTTTTCATCCAGAGTTTGAGCTCCTTCAATAAATGCATTTAGTTAGCAATTTCAGTGTTTTTGTATTTGACAGCTTCAAGACATGAGTGGGCAAATTCAGACAATCATTGGCTAACGTAGCTAGTTAGATGGCTATGGCTAGAAAAGTTAGCCTGCCGAGAAAAAAAAAAAGGTACACGGCACATTAACGTTTGCGCACTTCTTGCATTAGGTAACTTGTTAGTAATGCGTGCATCTAAGTAGCATAGCTAGTTAGCTAATGTTGAATAGTTTTGGAAGCGAGTCTTTCTATGATGCTTGTCTTGATGCATGAGTAGGGTGACTAGCTAGCTTACATGCTAACCAAACATCTGCTGTTGTGAAGTCCATTTACTTAGTAGCTAACTAGTTAGCATCATAACTTGCAAAATAATTCAACCACCACAGCTGTATTTTATATTATTGAACTCTGCACAATGCCACATGTTCGGTTGCAAGGTGGATATTATCATTTGTGCACACAAGTTGGCTAACTGGATAAAGTTGAAGTGTTTACGTCTTCTCAAGAAGCGTGCTGATTGGCTTCTCCTCGGTAATCGCCCAGTCCTGTAAATGAAGACGATCAAATGGCCTCATGGCTAGAACATTAGTTCATAGCCACTTATGTGCATTATATGCATTTAGCTTCACATAGCCATTAAATTGAGACCCCTACCACTCTTTATAATGGAGAAGGTGATCTAGTCTGTATGGCATATATTGTCTGTCTCCATAATGTTTTCCAAACATTGAATATGACGTTTACCAGGACCATCCAGACCCTGTGTAGTAGAAGCAGGTGTCTGATTCTGAACCCATTGTCTCTGTCCTCTACAGTCCCTGGGATGGAGGGCGGGACCCTGAGCGATGCCAATCTGACCAACTCCTACTTCAGCAGCAGCTTCATCGGTGTCAACGGCTTCGGGAGCCCAGCAGAGTCTAAATACTCTATGATGCAGGTATGACCAGCCTCGGAATTCAACTAAACAGTACTGACTCGACAGATGCCTAAATTCTTTTTTGTTTCAAAGCGACTTTGAGATTCTTGTTTGTAATGAGAAGCGCTATATAAAATACATCTGATTTATTATTCTACTCTCAAGTGTTCAGGTACCAGCTTTAGATCTACAGGAAGTTAGAAAATACTGGTCAAATACTGAATTATAGTGCTACTTGGCTGATGTGGTAGAGGTGAACTTATTCTTGTATGTTAATCAGAAAGTCTGGTTCAGTACTGGTCTAAAGACAGTGATCTTTGCTATCAGGGATCCTTGGGTCATCCCTTGCCCATTGAAGTTGACATTTAAAATGGTTAAGTTTAGGGTTTTGTAAGGGTTAAGGTTAGGGTTTAGGGTAGGGACGTCCAAGCAGGGTTGGGCCAATATACAGTGGGGAGAATAAGTATTTGATACACTGCCGATTTTGCAGGTTTTCCTACTTACAAAGCATGTAGATGTCTGTAATTTTTATCATAGGTACACTTCAACTGTGAGAGACGGAATCTAAAACAAAAATCCAGAAAATCACATTGTATGATTTTTAAGTAATTAATTTGCATTTTATTGCATGACATAAGTATTTGATCACCTACCAACCAGTAAGAATTCCGGCTCTCACAGACCTGTTAGTTTTTATTTAAGAAGCCCTCCTGTTCTCCACTCATTACCTGTATTAACTGCACCTGTTTGAACTCGTTACCTGTATAAAAGACACCTGTCCACACACTCAATCAAACAGACTCCAACCTCTCCACAATGGCCAAGATCAGAGAGCTGTGTAAGGACATCAGGGATAAAATTGTAGACCTGCACAAGGCTGGGATGGGCTACAGGACAATAGGCAAGCAGCTTGGTGAGAAGGCAACAACTGTTGGCGCAATTATTAGAAAATTGAAGAAGTTCAAGATGACGGTCAATCACCCTCGGTCTGGGGCTCCATGCAAGATCTCACCTCATGGGGCATCAATGATCATGAGGAAGGTGAGGGATCAGCCCAGAACTACACGGCAGGCCCTGGTCAATGACCTGAAGAGAGCTGGGACCACAGTCTCAAAGAAAACCATTAGTAACACACTACGCCGTCATGGATTAAAATCCTGCAGCGCACGCAAGGTCCCCCTGTTCAAGCCAGCGCATGTCCAGGCCCGTCTGAAGTTTACCAATGACCATCTGGATGATCCAGAGGAGGAATGGGAGAAGGTCATGTGGTCTGATGAGACAAAAATATAGCTTTTTGGTCTAAACTCCACTCGACGTGTTTGGAGGAAGAAGAAGGATGAGTACAACCCATCCCAACCGTGAAGCATGGAGGTGGAAACATCATTCTTTGGGGATGCTTTTCTGCAAAGGGGACAGGACGACTGCACCGTATTGAGGGGAGGATGGATGGGGCCATGTATCGCGAGATCTTGGCCAACAACCTCCTTCCCTCAGTAAGAGCATTGAAGATGGGTCGTGGCTGGGTCTTCCAGCATGACAACGACCCGAAACACATAGCCAGGGCAACTAAGGAGTGGCTCCGTAAGAAGCATCTCAAGGTCCTGGAGTGGCCTAGCCAGTCTCCAGACCTGAACCCAATAGAACATCTTTGGAGGGAGCTGAAAGTCCGTATTGCCCAGCGACAGCCCCGAAACCTGAAGGATCTGGAGAAGGTCTGTATGGAGGAGTGGGCCAAAATCCCTGCTGCAGTGTGTGCAAATCTGGTCAAGACCTACAGGAAACATATGATCTCTGTACTTGCAAACAAAGGTTTCTGTACCAAATATTAAGTTCTGCTTTTCTGATGTATCAAATACTTATGTCATGCAATAAAATGCAAATTAATTACTTTAAAATCATACAATGTCATTTTCTGGATTTTAGTTTTAGATTCTGTCTCTCACAGTTGAAGTGTACCTATGATAAAAATTACAGACCTCTACATGCTTTGTAAGTAGGAAAACCTGCAAAATCGGCAGTGTATCAAATACTTGTTCTCCCCACTGTATGTGTATATATATATATATATATAGTAACTAAGCCTTATTTTTTTCCGCCAAACAACAATGATTTAACGAGAATACAACTAATATTGTAAATAAGCACAAATTGCACAGGCTGGAATTATCTAGTCATTAATGGCATAAAACGATTATATCGGATATCGTGGTATTTGGAGTAGCATATCGTAGATGTCTCCCCAAATATCATCCAACACTAGCCCCAATTATCCCAGATAGCACTGACCTAAAGAAAATCAGATAATTATGTAGGGCTAGGTGCTTGTTTATTTCAATCAAGCGATCATACAGGTTTTAGCAGAATCGCATTAGTGGAAACCAAGACTGTTCTCAGGGAAGACCTGGTTGTAGCTACACTGAACAAAAATAAAGACGCAACATGTAAAGTGTTAGTTTCATGAGCTGAAATAAAAGATCCCAGAAATGTTTCATACGTGCAAAAAGCTTATTTCTCTCATTCTGTGCACATATTTGTTTACATCCCTGTTGGTGAGCATTTCTCCTTTGCCAAGATAATCCACCCACCTGAAAGGTGTGGAATATCAAGAAGCTGATTAAACAGCATGATCATTACACAGGTGTACTTTTTTCTGGGGACAATAAAAGGCCACTCTAAAATGTGCAGTTTTGTCACACAACACAATGCCACGGATGTCTCACGTTTTGAGGGAGCTTGCAATTGGCATGCTGACTGCAGGAATGTCCACCAGAGCTGTTGCCAGAGAATTGAATGTTCATTTCTCTAGCATAAGCCACCTCCAATGTCATTTTAGAGAATTTGGCAATACATCCAACCGGCCTCACAACTGCAGATCATGTGTAACCACGCCAGCCCAGGACCTCCACGTCCAGCTTTTTCACCTGCAGGATGGTCTGAGACAAGCCACCTGGACAGCTGATGAAACTGGGTTTACACAACTAGGGCTGTGGTGGTCACAATTTTGTCAGCCGGTGATTGTCACGCAGATAACTGTCGGTCTCACGGTAATTGACCGTTAATTAACAAACACATTTAGTATCTCCTGGCTTCCACGCACAGCCTACAAGCCACTGATGCTGACCTTTGGAACATCTACATTAAAAAAAGGTATAATAAATCCATGTAATATAGCCTACACCTTCACAATAAATCCATAATTTATTTTAGACAGGTCTAAAGAAGCATGATATGAAGAAAATGTTGTCTATTTCAGAAGAACAGAATAGCATACTCTGAGTTGTCCTTACAGTGGCTTGCGAAAGTATTCACCCCCCTTGGCATTTTTCCTATTTTGTTGCCTGACAACTTGGAATTAAAATATATTTTTTTGGGGTTTGTATCATTTGATTTACACAATATGCCTACCACTTTGAAGATGCAAAATATTTTTTTGTGTGAAACAAGAAATAAGACAAAAAAACAGAACTTGAGCATACATAACTATTCACCCCCCCCCCCCCCCAAGTCAATACTTTGTAGAGCCACCTTTTGCAGCAATTACAGCTGCAAGTCTCTTGGGGTATGTCTCTATAAGCTTGGCACATCTAGCCACTGGGATTTTTGCCCATTCTTCAAGGCAAAACTGCTCCAGCTCCTTCAGGTTGGATGGGTTCCGCTGGTGTACAGCAATCTTTAAGTCATACCACAGATTCTCAATTGGATTGAGGTCTGGGCTTTGACTAGGCCATTCCAAGACATTTCAATGTTTCCCCTTAAACCACCCAAGTGTTGCTTTAGCAGTACGCTTAGGGTCGTTGTCCTGCTGGAAGGTGAACCCAGTCTCAAATCTCTGGAAGACTGAAACAGGTTTCCCTCAAGAACTTCCCTGTATTTAGCGCCATCCATCATTGCTTCAATTCTGACCAGTTTCCCAGCCCCTGCTGATGAAAAACATCCCCACAGCATGATGCTGCCACCACCATGCTTCACTGTGGGGATGGTGTTCTCGGGGTGATGAGAGGTGTTGGGTTTGCGCCAGACATAGCGTTTTCCTTGATGGCCCAAAAGCTCAATTTTAATCTCATCTGACCAGAGTACCTTCTTCCATATGTTTGGGGAGTCTCCTACATGCCTTTTGGCGAACACCAAACGTGTTTGCTTATTTTTTTCTTTAAGCAATGACTTTTTTCTGGCCACTCGTCTGTGCTTAGTGGTGTTGCAGACTCTGGGGCCTTTCAGAATAGGTGTATATATACTGAGATCATGTGACACTTAGATTGCACACGGGTGGACTTCTATTTAACTAATTATGTGACTTCTGAAGGTAATTGGTTGCAGCAGATCTTATTTAGGGGCTTCATAGCAAAGGGGTGAATACATATGCACGCACCACTTTTCCATAATTTTTTTCACTTCACCAATTTGGACTATTTTGTGTATGTTCATTACATGAAATCCAAATAAAAATCAATTTCAATTACAGGTTGTAATGCAACAAAATAGGAAAAACGCCAAGGGGGTTGAGTACTTTTGCAAGGCACTGTATGTTAGGTCCTGATCTGGCTATGCCAAATGGCTGTGGGCTACACTAGTTCATTTAGCAGACAAGATGTGCTTTAAAAAAATAAAATAAAAAATAATTGTAAAGTGGTTATCCCACTGGCTATAGGGTGAATGCACCAATTTGTAAGTCGCTCTGGATAAGAGCGTCTGCTAAATGACGTAAATGTAAATGTAGAATTCCGTGGCATTATTTTATAGTATGAAGAATACAATTGAACAAAGCTGAATGAAATAGAAAGGATATTTTCTCCAAACAATTTGAGGGAGTGCGCACATGTGGCTATTCTGTGTTGAGTGGTTAACAAAGAAATATGTATTCCTATATGCTTAATTTACAGTTAATAATGTAACTTTAGTTGTTGTACAAATATTGGGCTGTATGTTTTGATTTTTAATACATTGTTAGGCTGCATGATGCGACTAGTGATGATTTTGAAAAAAGTCCCTTGAAAGGCATGAGCTCTGCTTTGTTTTTTTTGTGCAGGCTGTACACACTACATCAGTCACTCATTCACAATTTGACAAGCACTTGATAATGCCTAGAATTTCATGGCAGCATCCCCTTTGTGTGGCCGTAATGCACCCTAAAAAAATCCATGACTTTTCTGGCCAGTGGCTGTTGTGCCTTTCTCCCTGAGTGCTGCACGCTCCATCACGTGATCAGGTCTTTCTCACAGGCTACAAGTGAAGACCGACACATCGGGGATGCAACTGCGCGCGTCCTTATCCAATTCCGAGGTGCATATTGAAGATATTGGAAGAACTGTCCACATTTTACTTTTCGTCAGCTGACAAGATGAGTAGGCCTAACAAACAGCAAAAGCACTATCCTGTGTCAATCTACTATCCCCCATAGTACAAAGGTCGACCTATTCTGTGCGAGAAATAATTATTCCAAACATAGTCTGGGACACTTGTGGGATGCGATAGATTCCAAATTAATACAACCACTAGCATCAAAAAACATTTTTGACGCAACAGATCAGAACGTTTAGCTTAAAACGTTGATAAACTATTAGGCTATTTCTTCACATTATAAGCGCAGCAATGCGCACATGGTAGTAGGCTATAAGCGCAAATGTTCCATTAGCGGAAAACACCATTATCAAAAGTGACCGCAAATGCAATTATGCATTATAAAGGTGCGTTTTTATGGTGAAAATGATCTTCCCCAAACTTGAAACTCACGCGCTGCTTATGTATGCCAGTTAGGCAATACACCCCTTGTAAAGCGGATTAATGTGCTTAATTTTAAGAAGTTATTTTGTCACTTTAGTTGTGATATAAACATATAGGCCTATGGGCTAGGCTACATGAGGTGTCTGACTATGATTAGAAAAAGTCGCAAAAAATGGCATTTTCTTATGCTGCGCATCAGTCACAAGTGATAGGCTAATATTGTCACCCATCAGACTATTCTTGATTTAATCTTGTCTTTACATATACTAACTAATATATGTGAGAAATTTGTTTTGATTTAGAATGGACCGTTACCATGCATCTGTATTGAAACAGGGGCAGTAGGAAAAAATAAATGTCTATGCACTTAAATAGCGAATGGAGGACGCTTTTTCCCGTGGTTTATTTTCATGCCAACCAGGTAGGCTATACTCCTGTTGTAAATAAAGCAATGTGCTTAATATTAGGAAAGTTGAGAAATAAAAATAGTAGGTCTAGCCTATAGAAAGCTGATCCTCTTTTTACTAGAGGCCATCACTCTGTTTTCTCGTGAAATTGCATAGCCTGTAGAAATGTAGCGCAACATGAGCTCATGGGCTCTCATTAAGTGTTTGATTTAGATTTTCGAAAACATTTGCATTGATGTCAGAGTGATTAGAGGGACAATGGAGTGCTGAGTACCAGGCAGTTAGCAAGTTTGGTAGGCTACTAATGACCATCAGCAGCATCAGAGCTTGGAGAAGCCTAATTACCATGACTAAACGGTCACGTGGTATTTGACTGCCTTTATGACTCGTGACTGCCGGTGTGGCGGTGATACGGTCACCGCAACAGCCCTTTACACAACCAAATAATTTCTGCACAAACTGTCAGAAACCGTTTCAGGGAAGCTCATCTGCATGCTCGTCGTCCTCAACAGGGTCTTGACCTGACTGCAGTTCGGTGTCGTAACAGACTTCAGTGAGCAAATGCTCACCTTCGATGGCCACTGGCACGCTGGAGAAGTGTCACGGATTCATCCCAGTTTCAGCTGTACCGGGCAGATGTCGTTGTGTGGGCGAGCATTTTGCTGATGTCAACATTGTGAACAGAGTGCCCCATGGTGGGGTTATAGTATGGGCAGGCATAAGCTACGAACACAATTGCATTTTATCGATGGCAATTTGAATGCACAGAGATACCGTTCCGAGATCTTGAAGCCCATTATCGTGCCATTCATCCGCCGCCATTACCATTACCTGTTTCAGCATGATAATGCACGGCCCCATGTCACAAGGATCTGTACACAATTCCTGGAAGCTGAGAATGTCCCAGTTCTTCCATGGCCTGCATACTCAACGGACATGTCACCCGTTGAGCATATTATGAATGCCATTGAAGAGGAGTGGGACAACATTCCATAGGCCAAAATCAACAACCTGATCAACTCTATGCGAAGGAGATGTGTCGTGCTGCATGAGGCAAATGATGGTCACAGCTGATACTAACTGGTTTTCTGATCCACGCCCCTACTTAAAAAAAAAAGGTATCTGTGACCAACAGATGCATATCTGTATTCCCAGTAGTGAAATCCATAGATTAGGGCCTAATGAATTTATTCCAATTGACTGATTTCCTTATATAAACTGAAACTCAGTAAAATCTTAGAAATTGTTGCGTGTTTGTTTTTCAGTGTAAATATCTTCGAGTGGTGTCGGACAATTTTAGCTAACCCTTTTTCCTAACCTTAATTCTCCTAACCTGCTGCGAAAAGTCACTTCTGCTAGTCAAAACCGGCAGATCTGCCCTTTATTAGTGGTAGTATCCACTAATGCGATAGTTGTATTTTATCTACAATTCAACCAGGTGACCAGGTGCATACACCTAAGCTGAATTCCAAGACCATCAGCCAGTGATGCAGATACAGTGGGTTCTAATGGGAATTATTTTGCTGCAGACGGGGGTACCTTTCGAGAACTAAAGGGCTGCGGTCTTTGCTAGGATATGGTAGCTAGGTAACTAAGATACTTTTTTTAAGCATCTGTGTTTTGTTGTTATGTAGAGAATCACCAACAGCAGTAGTTCTCCCAGTCTCCTTGACGATGGTGCCAAGAACTTCAACCACAGCGCTCACGGTAAGAACCCAGTACCTACAGGACACTTAATGGAGTAGCACAGTGGTCCCCAACTCCGGTCGTCAAGTACCCCCAACAGTACAAGCACAGCTGATTCAACTTGTCAACTCATTATCAGGCCCTCAATGAGTTGAAGCAGGTATGTTTGCTGTCGGGGGTTCTCGAGGACCGGAGTTGGGATCCACTGGAGTATCAGATCATTGAAACTAATATCTGTAGAATTATAATTGGAACAACTTCTAACTCTTGGAACACCCATGAAATCATTGGCAGATCTATTCCATGGAACCCTGGCAGTTGGACCAGGTCAGAGTTGTGGGTCGATGGAAAACTCCCCGTGGACAACACAGTCTTCATTCCCTCTCCCTCTATGTCCTCTTCCAGATCCAGGGAATTCCCCCATGTCTTCACTCTTCAGTGACTTTGGTGCTCTGAGCATATCACAAAGGAGAAAGGTGAGAGCACCTCTTCCCTGGTGTGGTCATCAACCAAGGGGAATAGTTTGATATTCATATGTCTATTGAGTTTTAGGGCCTAAGGTGGAAAATTGTCAAACCTAAACCCATGCATTGTGGTCCGTTTGTGTGTTTTCTCTAGATAACATAATCCGGTCACTGATTGTTTTTGTTGTGAACTGTGATGAAGACAAATCCGCTAATAAGGAAAATAAACATTGTATAAAACAAATACAATCTCTGAAGGCAAGAAGAACAATTGAATCAAATCCTAGGGTTATGCATCTCTTATTCTCTCTCTCCAGGGTCCTAACCCTACAGCCAATGAATTCATCCCTAAGGGGGCTCCCCGCATGGCCACTATGGTCCAGTCCAGTGGTCCGGCCTTCCCCTCGCCCCTCTTCCCCCACCTCGGCCTCAGCAGCTCCACCGCCCTAGCACCTGGTGAGCCATCCACTCCAAAAAAAAAAACACTTCATTCTCTGACTTAGAACACTTCTAGGCGTTGTTCTCCCTTTGCACCATATCATGGATATTCCAGGTTGTCAGGGTGAGTGAGTTTGCAGTGTAAAGGTTCTCTATTGATGTAACCTCCCATTGTTCTCTTGCATAACCAAGTGAATTGACTCCATACAATGGAGATGCTCTAGAAAAAACAGCAGACAATGTATTATTCAGGTAAATCCCCGACATTATGAATTCTGCCTTGGTTAGTCAGAACAATGTATGGAGGTGCTCCAATGAACTCTGTTTAACACACCCTCTCTGGTATCCCCCATACAGGGATGTCTCTCTCTGCGGGATCCTCCCCCCTCCACTCCCCCAAAATCACACCCCAAACCTCACCCGCCCCTCGCCGGCGTAGCCACACCCCCAACCCCAACAACCCTAACCCAGCCAACTACATGGTGCCCACCAGTGTGTCTGACCAGGGGGCCCACATCATCCAGAAGGAGACGGTGGGGGGGACAACATATTTTTACACTGATAACACCCCCGCTCCCATGGCCGGGATGGTACGTTCCATTTAGTCTGCCCTTACTGACAGCATGAAAATACATTACGTCATCCTCATCTGTAGACTTGTTAGTTTTAATTTCTCCATAAATGGGAAGTGCAGTCGTTAAATGTGTGTGGTTTCTGTGCAGGTGTTTCCTACCTACCACATCTACCCCCCCACTGCTCCCCACGTTGCCTACATGCAGCCCAAAGCCAACGCCCCGTCCTTCTTCATGGCTGATGAACTCCGACAGGTACGCCCTCGCTCTCTCTCTTCCCCCTAACTGATTCTTTCCGTCTGAAACGCCTACTCTCTGTTCCCATTTCTGTCCCCTCTCTTTCTTTCATTCTCTTTTTCGCCCTGTCTCCATATTTCTCTCTCTCTGCGCCTCTGTTCTGACTGGCTTTGTTCTAATCCTCCAATCTCTCTCCATGCTGTGATGTCAGTGTTGATCTCTGATGTCATTTCCTGTGGTTCCCTCTAGGAGCTGATAAACAGACATCTGATCACCATGGCTCAGATCGACCAGTCAGAGAACACAGGTAAGGCATCCCTTCCCTGATTGGCCCAACCGAGGTGGGGGGGGGACTGTTATTGGCGTTGTGGTCATTGTGTGATGGCATGGCCTATCACAGTTGACTGAAAGTGAGACTGAATGTTCTATGATCCTGAATCGTGTCTGTCTTTAGGATTCCACTAATAGTCACACTGTGGTTGGTTCATAGAACATTCTCAAGTTGTTCAGCTGTAGCTCCTGTAGCTCAGTTGGTAGAGCATGGCGCTTGCAACGCCAGGGTTGTGGGTTCGTTTCCCACGGGGGGCCAGTATGAAAATGTATGCACTCACTAACTTCAAGTCGCTCTGGATAAGAGCGTCTGCTAAATGACTAAAATGTAAAACTTGTAACTTAAGATGAGTGCCAACTGATGTAGTTGATTTTGGCGCTGTTTGTGTGCTGGTGTATGTAGATGTGTTGTAATGACGTGTATCCCTGTCCCCTCTGTCCCAGGTGTTCCATCTGAGGTGGACAGCTACCACAGCCTGTTTCCCCTGGAGCCTGTCCCCCCTCCCAACCGCCTGCAGAAGACCAGCAACTTCAGCTACATCACTTCCTGCTACAAGGCCGTCAACAGCAAGGACGACCTGCCATACTGCCTGAGGAGGTTACATGGTGAGGCGCTCGTATGCCAGAAGATGAACACACACACGTTATCCTTCCTGCCATTGAGATTTTAAATGATCTTATATTTGGTATGGAATGTATTTTCTTTCAGCCTACTTGAGTGGTCATGTTCTCTGAATGTCTTTGCTGTGTGTGTGTCCAGGTTTCAGGCTAGTGAACACCAAGTGTATGATGCTGGTGGACATGTGGAAGAAGATCCAGCACTCCAACTCTGTTACCCTGAGGGAGGTCTTCACCACCAAGGCCTTTGGAGACCACTGTGAGTCGTGTGTGTGTGTGGGGGGGGTCTCTGTGTCCCCCATGTTGTATGTGTGTTTGTGTATACATGTGGGATTGTTTACATTGGTGTTTGTGTGAGTGTGTTTGACCCATAATAAACCCCCATGATAACCTCCTGTGGGGCTGTGTGTGTGTGTGGGGCTGTGTGTGTGTGTGGGGCTGTGTGTGTGTGGGGCTGTGTGTGTGTGTGTGTGTGTGTGTGTGTGGGGCTGTGTGTGTGTACATTTACATTTAACATGTACATTTAAGTCATTTAGCAGATGCTCTTATCCAGAGCGACTTACAAATTGGTGCATTCAACTTAGGATAGCCAGTGGGACAACCACCACTGGGGGAGGGGGGGTGTAGAAGGATTACTGTTAGACTATTCCAGGTAATGTGTACATTTTTTTTTTTTTTTTGTGTTTGACCCATAATAAACCCCCATGATAACCTCCTGTTTCTCTCAGCGTTGGTGTTCTCCTATGACTTCCATGCGGGGGCAGAGACCATGTTCAGCAGGCACTTCAACGACCCTGCGGCCGACTCCTACTTCACCAAGAGGAAGTGGGGTGAGTCTTCCCAACACACTCCCCCATACTGACCCCAACACACTCCCCCATACTGTGGGGAGCTGTGTGTGTGTGTGTGGTGGTGTGGTGGGGTGTGTGTGTGTGTGTGTGGGGTGTGGTGTTGTGGGTGTGTGGTGTGTGGTGTGTGTGTGTGGGCTGTGTGTGTGGGTGTGGGTGTGTGTGTGTGTGGGTTGGTGGTGTGTGTGTGTGTGTGTGGGGTGGTGTGTGTGTGGGGTGGTGGGGGTGTTGTGTGTGGTGGGTGGGGTGTGGTTGTGGGTGGTGGGGTGTGTGTGTGTGGGGTGGGGGTGTGTGTGTGGGGCTGGGTGGGGGGCTGTGGGTGTGTGTGGGTGTGTGTGGGGGTGGTGGGTGGGTGGTGGGGGCTGTGTGGTGGGGGCGTGTGTGTGGGTGGGTGGGTGGTGTGTGGGGGTGGGGTGTGTGTGGGGGTGGGTGGGGTGTGTGTGTGGGTGGGTGGGGTGTTGTGTGGTGGGTGGGTGGGGTGTGGTGGTGGTGTGGGGTGTGTGTGGGGGGTGTTGGGTGTGTGTGTGTGGGGTGGGTGTGTGTGTGTGTGTGGTGTGTGGGTGTGTGTGTGTGTGTGTGGGGGCTGTGTGTGTGTGTGTGGGGGGCTGTGTGTGTGTGTGGGGCTGTGTGTGTGTGGGGCTGTGTGTGTGTGTGTGCGTCAATTAACTTCAGGTTGGAAAGTGGAAGCTCTAGAAAGAGGCCCGAGTTCCTGAGTTGGAATTCCGAGTTCGATGACCGTTCAAAATGATTTTCCCAGTCGGAGCTAGTTATTTAAAAAAAATCTATTCCCAGTTGTCTTGAATGCACTGAAGACTGAGATTTCCGAGTTATTTTGAATGCTGCATCAAATGGCAACGGAAGGCAGGTTTTGTCAGCGCGTCACACACCACTTTGCAATGAGCATGCATTTTGAAATCATACTCTTAATTGTTTGAAACCTGAATGTTTTAATACATATTATGAGGTATGTCTTACCTTGCTTCAAAGTAGCCTATTAGATCTCCTCTATTCCTAACGGATATTTTCATCTCACATGAAACCGCTCGCATGTACAGTGCCCTTTTGACAACAGTTTTCCCGCTAATTGCATTATGGAAGGAACATCCGCGCGTAGCCTACTGCCTTGTGTGCATTGCTGCGCTTAAACTATTATTTCTTCATATTATATCAACATTTTTAAGCTAAACGTTCTGATCCGTTACATCGGACTGCTTGCTTTTTTAAATGTAGCCGAGGCCTACTGGTTGGATGAATTTGGGATCTATCGTCCCAGTGTCTGTTTTAGAATAGGCTAGTTCTTTCTCGACAAGCTGACCAATAGAATAGGTAGCCTAAACTTTTCTACTATAGTAGATTGACATAGGCTCGTGATTTTGCTGTTCGTTAGTAATCTTGTTGGCTGAGGAAAAGTACATGTGGACAGTTATTCTAACATGTTCAAAGTGCACATCAGAATTCGTTGCATCCTCGACGTGCATGTTCTGTTAATATGAATTACCATATTCTAAATGTGATTTCTGTCATTCTGAGCACCGTGGGTGGACAACTTAATCAGGTTACGCACCCAATGCATATGGTACATTTCTCAAATGTCCAGTAAATTTAAAATGTTGCCAGTCAAATGTCTGGCGCCACATTTTCCTAAAGGAAACCAGTGAGGTTGCCAGTGCTGATTGTTTCTGTGTGAGTGTGGTAGAGGGGTGTGTGTGCGTGTGGTGCCAGCACTGACAGTTGCTGGTCTGTGTGACGGTAGGGGTGTGTGTTGCGTGGTTGCGGGTGTGTTCAAGCTGTAGTCAGGGGAAGCTGTGGCTGAAAGTGATCCTGAGACCGGTGCTATAGCTACCAGCCAGAGGAAGTAGAACCTCTCTGGCCTCACTGACCTCATGGCAACAGGTGTTTTAGTGTCATTACTACTCTTACACAGCAACACCTCTCTGTGGCCTCACAGCAACAATACGGGTCACACTAATAGTTCTGCTACTCTATATCGCACTACAGCAACACCTCTCTCAAGTGTTCAACAAGTGGGTGTTTGTGCAAGGATGCGTCTGACATTTGCAAGGAAGTTGATACCATTTATTTTCTTAAACCCTTTATTTGGAAAGCCTCAATGTAGGGTGTCCACCCACTCTGCCCAGAGTTGGTGAAAATGGGCTTTGGTAATGAAATGGCACTTCTTATGTTATTAAATACATTTTACCAAGACAAAGGGGATGTAGCTCAGTTGGTAGAGCATGGCGTTTGCAACGCCAGGGTTGTGGGTTCGATAAAATAATGTATGCGCTAACTGTAAGTCGCTCTGGATAAGAGTGTCTGCTAAATGACTAAAATGTAAATGTAAATATGATTCTTCATGTTCTGAATTGTTCAGTGGGGAATTTCTCTAACATATCAACATTATATCAAAAAAGTCGGATTTCGTAACCTAATACGTCCGATAATAAGCACCGGTGCCGCTTTCTCGCAGCGACTTTTGAGGATTTTACATGTTGTGGTGGTCATCTGCAAAGTAGTTTTTGCAGTTCACAAAAAGCGAAATTAACATGAACTGAATTAAATGTAAAATGCTTTGAAAATAAAAAGCTTGCGTTATACTCAGTGCCCCGTTGACATGCTTGTTTTTGTGAGAAATCTAAGAAAAATAACAAGAATTTTGAATTAATATGAAAAGTGCAAACTGACATTTGAAAATACTAGCTACATGCCATGTCTCAATCAATATGTCTTACCTCTAATTTGTTTTTATGTCCTCCGGATTGGAGAAGAAAGATGAGTTCAACTGTGAGCCTGTCAGATAGTCTTAATTCTCACACAGCATCCAGCCTAGCTGACGCAATGCTATTTTCCAGATTTTTGACCACTTTTTTTCCTCTGGCCTCCATTGATTTAGTCACCCTAATTCTGGCCATCCTACAAGGGTAAAAACTCCAATAACTTTTTAACAGATTAGGATAGAGACATGGGGTTTGAACCGTTGGTTTTCTTAGGAGTATCTACACACATTATTTTACCCATTGGTCAAAAGATGCGTTTTTGATTGGACACCCTACTCAGTGTTTCGTCTGTGTTTTCCTTTCGTGTGTGTCCTGTTCCCCCCCCTGTAGGGCAGCACGAGCCCCCTCCACCACGGCAGCACGCAGGTCTACTTCCTGAGTCTCTGATCTGGGCCTACATCGTCCAGCTGAGCTCAGCCCTCAGAACCATCCACACTGCTGGTCTGGCCTGTAGGGTCATGGACCCCAGCAAGATCCTCATCACCGGCAAGACCAGGTACACACACCTCGCAGACACACACACACTCACACACATTGCTGACCAAGGTTATGGATCCCAGCAAGATCCATATTCTCTGAAACCAGTTAGACACACCATATTTTGAATGTGATGCAGTGTGGTCAGAGAAACTGAGAACTGTCTATTTTTCATGCAACTTAGAACCAGTCACAGTTGCTGTCTCTGGTTTAGTCCTGAATTCCCACCATTTTTGCATTGCTTGATTGTGGACAGGTTCCTTGCTAGAGAACTGTGCAGAAACCAATGTGTCTGTAAGCCCCCTGATGTTTATGTTGTAGCGCTGATACAGTGCCTTGGAAAAGTATTCATCCCCCTTGGTGATTTTCCTATTTTGTTGCATTACAACCTGTAATTTAAATGGATTTTTATGTGGGTTTCATGTAATGGACAACATTTTCCAAATTGGTGAAGTGAAATGAAAAAAATAACTTATTTCAAAAAAAGTAATAATGGAAAAGTGGTGCGTGGATATGTATTCACCCCCTTTGCTATGAAGCCCCTAAATAAGATCTGGTGCAACCAATTACCTTCAGAAGTCACATAATTAGTTAGATTGCACACAGGTGGACTTTATTTAAGTGTCACATGATCTCAGTATATATACACCTGTTCTGAAAGGCCCCAGAGTCTGCAACACCACTAAGCAAGGGGCACCACCAAGCAAGCGGCACCATGAAGACCAAGGAGCTCTCCAAACAGGTCAGGGACAAAGTTGTGGAGAAGTACAGATCAGGGTTGTGTTATAAAAAAATATCCAAAACTTTGAACATCCCACGGAGCACCATTTAAATCCATTATTAAAAAATGGAAAGAATATGGCACCACAAGAAACCTGCCAAGAGAGGGCCGCCCACAAAAACTCACAGACCAGGCAAGGAGGGCATTAATCAGAGGGGCAACAAAGAGACCAAAGATAACCCTGAAGGAGCTGCAAAGCTCCACAGCAGAGATTGGAGTATCTGTCCATAGGACCACTTTAAGCCGTACACTCCACAGAGCTGGGCTTTACGGAAGAGTGGCCAGAAAAAAGCCATTGCTTAAAGAAAAGAATAAGCAAACACGTTTTGTGTTCGCCATAAGACATGTGGGAGACTCCCCAAACATATGGAAGAAGGTACTCTGGTCAGATGAGATTAAAATTGAGCTTTTTGGACATCAAGAAAAACGCTATGTCTGGCGCAAACCCAACACCTCTCATCACCCCGAGAACACCATCCCCACAGTGAAGCGTGGTGGTGGCAGTATCATGCTGTGGGGATGTTTTTCATCGGCAGGGACTGGGAAACTGGTCTGAATTGAAGGAATGATGGCGCTAAATACAGGGAAATTCTTGAGGGAAACCTGTTTCAGTCTTCCAGAGATTTGAGGCTGGGACGGAGGTTCACCTGCCAGCAGGATAATGAACCTAAGCATACTGCTAAAGCAACACTCGAGTGGTTTAAGGGAAAATATTTAAATGTCTTGGAATGGCCTAGTCAAAGCCCAAACCTCAATCCAATTGAGAATCTGTGGTATGACTTAAAGATTGCTGTACACTAGTGGAACCCATCCAACCTGAAGGAGCTGGAGCAGTTTTGCCTTGAAGAATGGGCAAAAATGCCAGTGGCTAGATGTGCCAAGCTTATAGAGACATACCCCAAGAGACTTGCAGAAGGTGGCTCTACAAAGTATTGACTTGGTGGTCTAAGGCACTGCATTGCAGTGCTAGCTGTGCCACTAGAGATCCTGGTTCGAATCCAGGCTCTGTCGTAGCCGGCCGCGACCTGGAGACCCATGGGGTGGCGCACAATTGGCCAAGCGTTGTCCAGGGTAGGGGAGGGAATGGCCGGCAGGGATGTAGCTCAGTTGGTAGAGCATGGCATTTGCAATGCCAGGGTTGTGGGTTCGATTCCCACGGGGGGCCAGTATGAAAAAGAAAAAAAAAGAATGTATGCACTCACTAATTGTAAGTCGCTCTGGATATGACTTAAATGTAAAATGTTAATAGTTATGCACGCTCAAGTTTTCTTTTTTTTGTCTCATTTCTTGTTTGTTTCACACCAAAAAATATTTTGCATCTTCAAAGTGGTAGGCATGTTGTGTACATCATATGATACAAACCCCCCAAAAATCAATTTTAATTCCAGGTTGTAAGGCAACAAAATAGGAAAAATGCCAAGGGGGTTGAACACTTTCACAAGCCACTGTAGTATCTGCTGGGTTATTTACTGTAAAGTACAGTGAAAGCAGAAGTTCTATATTAGTCCTGGCTTCCTTTTCTCAGAATGGGGAGAAACCACACAGTGACATCACGCTAATATTTTACACACCCACACACTCAACTTGCCTTTTTATCTTTGCAGGTTACGGGTGAATTGTGTAGGGGTGTTTGATGTCTTAACGTTTGACAACAGTCAGACCAACCATCTGGCCCTCATGCCACAGTACCAGGTACAGTAACCCCCCTGTCCGGAAAACCTACCAATTCTTTCCTGATAAAATTGCAAGCCCATTCTGGTCATCCTGGTATTCCCGTTCAAACCGGAAATGCAATTTAAAAAGCATAATATCAGCAAAAACAAATCTGATTTGTTGCAATTTAATCAACTCGAGTTCTGTCACCACACTTTCGTTGATTTAGCGTAGTTTTAATGTAGGCCTATGAAGCACGTTGGCCGACTTGGTAAAATATTATGAAGTTATTAAAGCCTGAAAATTCTATTAGTTTTTTTTGTCTTTGACTGAGATGTCAATACATCATGTTTGTTCTGTTCTTCCTGTATGCACCTGGTTGGGAAATTAATACTGTTGTGGTTATTTGTACTTTATGATTATCGACTTATTGTGGTGTATTTGTCACAGAGAACATCAGATTCTCCGGCTAAAAAAACAAATAAGCAAATAGACCTAGTAGCAGATATTCAGCACCATGGATTAGGCTTGGGTGGTATACCGGGTTATATGGAAATAGCCACAGGATGGTTTTTCAATACCGTCAATACTGTTGAAACGATTTATTTGACGTTTGTGAAAAACATAAAATAGTTTGTAGCTACTTTAAGTAAATACCTGCAGACAACTTGTGCAATATGTTAGGAGATAAAGCAGATCACATTTTCCTGGCTACACCAAGGAAAAAGCTACACCAAGGAAAAAGCTACAGAGCGTTGTCTGCTGATAGAATGCCGTTCGTGAATTCTCATCCGAGTGGAGTAATGCAACTGAAGCACAAAATTAGAAATTACAATAACAAACATTTTAGATCTGCAGCGAGATTTCTTCCGCGTTTTTATCTTTTTTTTCCCTTCTAGAAAAATGAAGAATTCTGCGTTAACTAGCAAGTTAAACTTAGGGGTCGCATTATCTAAGTAAGTTACTGAATGAGTAAGGTGACAGGGCATGTTATTGTGTAAGCTTTCTGCTGTGTTTGAGAGGTCAGAGCCCTTTTGGAGGAGTTGTCTGTACAGCTGCTATCTTTTCATTTCCTTGCCTTTTTTCCTCTCTGTTCTGGACCCGTCTGCTCCTCCCCCATCTTCTCCAAGCAGAGCAGGCAGGCCAGTTGCCCTAGCGACTCCAGACAGAAACAGCGTGTACATACACTATATATACACAAAAGTATGTGGACAACCCTTCAAATTAGTATATTCGGCTATTTCAGCCACACCCATTGCTGACAGGTGTATAAAATCGAGCACACAGCCATGCAATTTCCATAGACAAACATTGGCAGTAATATAGCCTTACTAAAGAGCTCATTGACTGTCAACGTGGCACCGTGATAGGATGCCACCTTTCCAACAAGTCACTTCGTCAAATTTCTGCCCTGTTAGAGCTGCCCCGATCAATTGTCAGTGTTGTTATTGTGAATTGGAAAGGTCTAGGAGCAACAACTGCTCAGCCGTGAAGTGGTAGGCCACACAAGCTCACAGAACGGGATTGCCGAGTGCTGTAGCGCGTAAAAATCGTCTGTCCTCGGTTGCAACACTCACTACCAAGTTCCAAACTGCCTCTGGAAGCAACGTCAGCACAATAACTGTTAGTTGGGAGCTTCATGAAATGGGTTTCCATGGCCGAGAAGCCGCACAAGCCTAAGATCACCATGTGCAATGCCAAGCGTCGGCTGGCGGGGTGTAAAGCTCGCCGCCATTGGACTCTGGAGCAGTGGAAACGCGTTCTCTGGAGTGATTAATCACGCTTCACCATCTGACAATCCGACAGACAAATCTGGGTTTGGCGGATGCCAGGAGAACGCTACCTGCCCGAATGCATAAAGCCAACTGTAAAGTTTGGTGGAGGAGAAATAATGGTCTGGGGCTGTTTTCCATTGAAGGGAAATGTTAACGCTACAGCATACAATCACATTCTAGATGATTCTATGCTTCCAACTTTGTAGCAACAGTTTGGGGAAGGCCCTTTCCTGTTTAAGCATGACAATGCCCCCGTGCACAAAGCGAGGTCCATACATAAATGGTTTGTCGAGATTGGTGTGGAAGAACTTGACTGGCGTGCACACAGCCCTGACCTCAACCCCTTTGGGATAAATTGGAACGCCGACTGCAAGCCAGGCCCAATCGCCCACCATCAGTGCCCGGCCTCACTAATGCTCTTGTGGCTGAATGGAAGCAAGTCTCCACGGCAATGTTCCAACATCTAGTGGAAATGTTCCAACATCTAGTGGAAAGCCTCCCAGAAGAGTGGAGGCTGTTTATAGCAGCAAAGGGGGAACCAACTCCATATTTAATGCCCATGATTTTGGAATGAGATGTTTGACGAGCATGTCCACATACAGTCGTGGTCAATAGTTTTGAGAATGACACAAGTATTGGTCTTCACAAAGTTCGCTGCTTCAGATATTTTTGTCAGATGTTACTATGGTATACTGAAATATAATTATAAGCATTCCATAAGTGTCAAAGGCTTTTTATTGACAATTACATTAAGTTTATGCAAAGAGTCAATATTTGCAGTGTTGACCCTTCTTTTTCAAGACCTCTGCAATCCGCCCTGGCATGCTGTCAATTAACTTCTGGGTCACATCCTGACTGATGGCAGCCCATTCTTGCATAATCAATGCTTGGAGTTTGTCAGAATTTGTGGGTTTGTGTTTGTCCACCCGCCTCTTGAGGATTGACCACAAGTTCTCAATGGGATTAAGGTCTGGGGAGTTTCCTGGCCATGGACCCAAAATGTCGATGTTTTGTTCCCCGAGCCACTTAGTTATCACTTTTGCCTTATGGCAAGGTGCTCCATCATGCTGGAAAAGGCATTGGTCGTCACCAAACTGTTCTTGGATGGTTGGGAGAAGTTGCTCTCGGAGGATGTTGGTACCATTCTTTATTCATGGCTGTGTTCTTAGGCAAAATTGTGAGTGAGCCCACTCCTTTGGCTGAGAAGCAACCCCACACATGAATGGTCTCAGGATGCTTTACTGTTGGCATGAGACAGGACTGATGGTAGCACTCACCTTGTCTTCTTCGGACAAGCTTTTTTGCCGGATGCCCCAAACAATCGGAAAGGGGATTCATCAGAGAAAATGACTTTACCCCAGTCCTCAGCAGTCCAATCCCTGTACCTTTTGCAGAATATCAGTCTATCCCTGATGTTTTTCCTGGAGAGAAGTGGCTTCTTTGCTGCCCTTCTTGACACCAGGCCATCCTCCAAAAGTCTTCGCCTCACTGTGCGTGCAGATGCACTCACACCTGCCTGCTGCCATTCCTGAGCAAGCTCTGCACTGGTGGTGCCCCGATCCCGCAGCTGAATCAACTTTAGGAGACGGTGCTGGCGTTTGCTGGACTTTCTTGGGCGCCCTGACGCCTTCTTCACAACAATTGAACGACTCCCCTTGAAGTTCTTGATGATCCGATAAATGGTTGATTTAGGTGCAATCTTACTAGCAGCAATATCCTTGCCTGTGAAGCCCTTTTTGTGCAAAGCAATGATGACGGCACGTGTTTCCTTGCAGGTAACCATGGTTAACAGAGGAAGAACAATGATTTCAAGCACCACCCTCCTTTTAAAGCTTCCAGTCTGTTATTCTAACTCAATCAGCATGACGGAGTGATCTCCAGCCTTGGCCTCGTCAACACTCTCACCTGTGTTTAACGAGAGAATCACTGACATGATGGCAGCTGGTCCTTTTGTGGCAGGGCTGAAATGCAGTGGAAATGTTTTTTGGGGATTTAAGTTCATTTTCATGGCAAAGAGGGACTTTGCAATTAATTGCAATTCATCTGATCACTCCATGACTTTCTGGAGTATATGCAAATTGCCATCATCAAAACTGAGGCAGCAGACTTTGTGAAAATGAGTATTTGTGTCATTCTCAAAACTTTTGACCACGACTGTACATGTATAACTATATGAGCTGGATTGCCTGTCTTTGCAATTTAGTTTCATTTGTGCAATTCATTTGTGCAAGTTAGCATATTTAGCTAGCAGCCTCATGGAAATGTGCTATTACTTGGATAGTAGCAGAGATTCAGCACCATGGATAGCGCCACGGTTGATCTGACTAGTAAACCTGCCGTGCTCTCGTTAGTGTAACATCATGGAAAACATGTTCACGTCTATTTCCTCAAGCACTATTGTGGACAATGTATCAGCCGTTTTGGGAGTAACCACAGTTTCTATTTGAGCCTCTGCTAGTGCCAGACGTGTGTGTGTGTGTGTGTGTGTGTGTGTGTGTGTGTGTGTGTGTGTGTGTGTGTGTGTGTTGTACTTCGCTCTGTGAGTTTTTGTCTTGCTGGCCTGATTTCCTTTGGAAATGGTTGAGTTGGCCCCTGGCCGTAGTGTGTTCTGTTGTTAACCCTGTTATCCTGTGTGCTTGCAGCAAGCGGACCTGATCTCACTGGGCAAGGTGGTGTTGGCCCTGGCCTGTAACTCTCTGGCTGGCATTCAGAGAGAGAACCTGCAGAAGGCCATGGAGCTGGTGTCAATCAACTACTCATCAGACCTCAAGAACCTCATCCTGTAAGACACACTGACACAACATACACAGACACACACAGACAGAACCCATCCTTGAAGAGAAGGACACCGGATCCTCCCCTAAGCCATCTGACACACACATACTCATCTGCAACAACCACAACACACTCAGATATACAAGTGAACGCACTGTTTGCACAGACAAGTACTCACACTCACTCACTCCGTAACTGTTTGTAGGTATCTGTTGACAGAGCAGTCTAGGCTGCGCAGCGTCAATGACATCATGCCCATGATCGGAGCTCGCTTCTACACACAGCTGGACGCATCACAGATGAGGAATGATGTCATTGAGGAGGACCTGGCGAAGGTACGCTAACAGACAGACAGACACACACACACACACACTCGTGATGCCACCTCTGCTCTGTCGGAGGGCTGGTAAAGGGAAGGAAGGCATGCAAGGAGAGGTGTTGAGGGCTGTGAAGATACAGGATGTTATTTGTGTGCCGCGGCCCCTCTGTCTCTCTACAGCTTCTGCTGTTCTGTTCTAGCCTCAGACATGAGGTGAGAAACCACTGGCTTCTCAGTGGTTTCCCCCCCCCCCCAACCCCACTGCTTAACACCCCCTCTGCAGCACTACTCAAGTTTTGTTTTGGTGCTTGTAACAGGAGACAGAGTAGTGTGTGAGCTGTTCTGCTGCCATCTTTAGAATTGGACTGAAAGGTGGCATTTCCTGTTTATCTCAATCTCATCACTGTTGTCTGTCTGTTCATCAGTTGTGTATGTTGTGTGTGCGTCTACATGTTATCATTACAGTCTCTTGCTGTGTGTTCCTTTTCAGAAATGTTTCTGGTTGTATTTTTAACCACACTGCCCTTCTTGCTTTTCAACGCGCTACATCTTCCTCACTCACATACAACCTACATAAGCACCGCCGTGCTGAGTTGGGTCACAGCAGAGGTGCGCGTGACAGATTTCTGGTGTGTTATCAAGCGGGCGTTGGTGTGTGTGTGTTCTCTCTGGGTTTGGTCTGATCTTGATGTATTTAAGTCCAGTAATATATAACTAATACTGCTATCTACAGCTCTCCAATATAGGCAACCACATCCCAGTGTAAAATATAACATTTTGGACTTAACATCAATGGTTCATTTGATTATTTTGTGTTGTGGTTCTGTATGTATGGTACAGGTAACTTCCAGAATAAAGGAAACACTTGAGTAAATGAGGGATACAAAGTATATTGAAAGCAGGTGCTTCCACACGGGTGTGGTTCCTGAGTTAAGCAATTAAAACATACCATCATGCTTAGGGTCATGTATAAAAATGCCCAGTTGCCCATTATTTTGGCTACCATGGCTAGAAGAAGAGATCTCAGTGACTTTGAAAGAGGGGTCTCAAAGGAGCATAGGGGGTTTAAAGGGTGTGTGTGTCTCAGTCACCAGATCTCAACCCAACTGAACACTTATGGGAGATTCTGGAGTGGCGCCTGAGACAGCGCTTTCCACCACCATGAACAAAACACCAACTTATGGAATTTATCGTGGAAGAATGGTGTCACATCCCTCCAATAGAGTTCCAGACACTTGTAGAATCTATGCCCACAGCTGGCAGCACCCAAGTAATCATCAATTTAGAACGCAGCTGCACACGAGCCGATCGTAATGCCCATGGTAAATTTGGTTTGACATTCCATATCCCTATTGCTAGTTAGGGACCATCCGTACATTATCTATGTACATGGGACAATATTTTAAAATGTCAATGGCTCCAAATTTCAATGACTTAAGGCAACTAAATTGTGGAAATTCATATACGAATATTGAAAGCATTTGAGGCAACTAAAAAATGTGCAACATTAAAATATTGTCCCATTTACTAGCCCCAGAGATGTGCTATACAATGTTAAATCAACTTTGCCACGATCGCACACCAGCCGGCTGAAGCTAATTGGTGAAAGTTGCCTAGCACTACCTAGCCTCGGTGACTTCTTCAAGACAACCTGGTTAGACTGTTTCAAGTGATCTACAAGGGTGAGTGACTGTAACTGTGTACTGTTTTTTTGGCAGAGTGAACACGCATGCGAGACACCCACACTAACCCCCCCCTTCCCCCCAATGACAACTGTCATTTCATAATGACGAAGCATGAGGCCAACTCAGGAAGTTCAGCCTTCTTTTAAGACACTTTATGTTGGTGTTTCATTTATGTTGGCAGTTACCTAATATATGTCTTATACAGTAGTTTTATCTCTGTTGTAGGAGGTACAGAATGGTCGTCTCTTCCGTCTGTTGGCCAAACTGGGCACCATCAATGAGAGGCCAGAGTAAGTACTGAACCACTCTGTTAGGAGTGTATTTGTAACATTGACCAATTGACTTCTGCCTTCATATCACACCTCTGCCAGCACTCTTCGCTTGTAGGTGTTTAACTGTTTGTGTGTGTCTTACTCTCTCTGTGTGTGTGTGTCAGGTTTCAGAAGGACCATACATGGTCTGAGACGGGGGACCGCTACCTGCTGAAGCTGTTCAGAGACCACCTGTTCCACCAGGTGACGGAGGCTGGGACCCCCTGGATAGACCTCAGCCACATTGTTTCCTGCCTCAACAAAGTACGCCTGCTCCACCTGCCACTCTTTTCGCATCTCTCTCTCTCTCTCTCTCTCTCTCTCTCTCTCTCTGTCACTTTCAAACCCTCTTCTCTGGCTTGTTTTCGCACACTCCTTTCAATCTCACCGACTTCTTTCTTTTTCTCATGCCCTTCCTCTCTCATTTTCCTCTGCCATACCCTTCTCCATCTTGTCCTCTCCTCTCACCCTTTCTGCGTATATTGTGTTGGTGCTCAGCTGGCTACTAGTCTACCAGTACTCTCCCCTTCTCTCTGTGTAGCTGGACGCAGGCGTGCCTGAGAAGATCAGCTTAGTGTCTCGTGATGAGAAGAGTGTTCTGGTGGTGACCTACTCGGACCTGAAGCGCTGCTTCGACAGTACCTTTCAGGAGCTGCAGCAGGCTGCTGCCACCGGCCCCCTGTAGCGCCCCCCACAGTCAGCGGGGTGGGACTGCCTGAACCCTGAACCGGACAGCACATTATTGCACTACAGCGGAGGACCAGGCGCATAGTGATGACATCATCTGCGTGGCGAGAGAGGCAGAGGGGGCGGGACTTGCTGGACCTCAGTCACATACACTGTCTTGGCAACCAGGAAGGCTTTTTCGAAAGCTGAATTGTTTTTTTGTTTTCTTTCTAAAATCACACAGCTGCGATTTACAAGTAATGGACAAAAACGGAAGCTGTAATGATGACGAACTATTACTTTTTTTTTTTGACTTGGGGAACAAAACGGATACTAAAAAATAAACCAACCACGTGGGATTGAACTTTTTCCTGCTTTTATTTTTTACATTTTTATTGAATTTTTTTCCTGTGGAGGATGGACTAAGATGTTTGACTTTTTAATGAATGTGAGTGAGTGGCCTACGGGATGCAGCTACTGAGAGGTGAACACACAGTCAGGCTGAGAACCTAATATAATGTCTCTCTCTTCCTGCTGGAGACCACACCCCTTCATACCAACGCACTAAGAGACGGGACAGACCACTGGATGCTTTCAAAGGGGGTGGTCAGGGAACCCATTGCTGAAATGGACCGGTCCACCTCAGCCTCCTTGGTTGTCGGTTCCCACTCAGAAAGGACAAACCACTGACTTTTTGGGTAGGGTGCGGTTTGGGGACTCTGAGACAGACCATTGGTCAATTCAATGCCTTGATGTGGGGGTCAAGGGTCATGGAACATTGGAGTCGTGTGGTGGGGCGGGGGGTGTTGTGTCAAACTGTGGTTTTTGTTGGCACTGAAGAAGGGTTTTGTCTAGAAGGGATACATCTTTTGGCAAAATTGACTTTTCGTAGCAGGTTTAGGAGAACTTACACAGCAGGTAAGGATAATTAGTTTAAGGTTAGGAAAAGGGTTAGGGTTAGTTAAAATGCACAAAAAAATCTACTTTTTCCATCAATTTGACAAGCTGTATCCCATCTAGGCATGATCCTGAGGAAGGGGTGTCTTCTCCCTGTTTGTTATATAGCGCAGGGTCATAAAAGCAGCAGTCTCCTTAATTGCTTAATGACAGACACTATTATGGAAAATGTTGTTACACAAATGATGAACTCATTGGGAGATGGATTACTTAGGTCTGGCTCGTCAGCTCTGGGATGAAGCCCATGGACTGGGCCAAAACTAGAGAATGGCGCCAGTTCTGCCTCAATGTGGAATGTCCTCCTGTTCTTGACCTCTTCCCTCCCATCTCTCCCTCTCTCCTTTGAATCCTCTCCCCTGCTTCCTTCCCCTGAGGGATCCCTGCCGACCTCATCATTTGAGAATATGTTATGCTTTTTGTGATGCTTTTTCTAGCTGGTTCCCTTCATTTTGCTCAGCTGTTGTGCAGTGATGCATGATGGGACATGGAAGGGACAGTCTTTCTGCCTCGACACAAACTTTATTCTGTGGACCAATTCCAGCTGGGGTGGGCCGGAGGGGCAAGCAACGGGGCGAAGTTGTTAGTAAGAAGGGGTTTTGAATCATTTTAAGAAAATCTGTTTTATTTGACCTATTTTTAAAATCATGTGAGACAAAATGTGCCGGAGACACCGAGCAGCGACAACCAGAATCACCTTTAACCTCTGACCTCTCCCAGAGGTCACCTGGGATTTTCCCCCTGAAGTGTGCACTCATTCACTCCCTCTCATGGCTTTAAAAATAATGGATTGGCGTGAGAGATATGATGGAAACTCCAAACCATGCTTATACCAATCCAATGCTTTTAAATTCACAAGGGGTAGTGAAGGAGTTTACTCTTCAGGGAGAAACATATAGAATTTTGAAGAGGGTGGGTAAGAGGGGTGAGCAGTGGCTGATGCATACAGAAGCAAGGGTCTATTCAGAAGGGTGAAATGTTCAAAGCATTTTAGATAGAAATGTATTGTATAGATCATACAGACTTCTAGTCACATGAGAAGGTAGCCATGTCTGTTCTATACATAACTGTTCTACGTGGAACATTTTGGACGTTCCACCCTATTGAATAGACCTTCTGTTGGATGGTTTGGAATTCTCTCAGGATGACGGACAGCTGGAGGGGCCCGATGACTGAATGTGTTTGGCCGTCATTGGTCGCCCTTTATCCAGTCAGATGGATGTGCTGCGGTGTGGGCTGGACTCTAAATGGGGGTAGGTGGAGATACTGTGGGGGGAAATCGTGAGTTGATAGATGGCCCTAAACACAGATTTAGCATCAGTTTACCCTGGTTCAGCCTTACCTGAACTACTAGGGGATGACAATTTATCTGACCCTATCTCAGTGGTTAGGGGCATCTTCTACCCACTACTCCATGAGGCAACATGGGAGTTGCCCCATAGCACAGATCTAGGATCAGTTTACTCTACACCTCGCCTATCCTGAACCATTTAGGAGTTGAAGAGTAAAACTGACTGTAGATCAGTTCTTAGGGGCCACTTGATCTAAAGCCTGCTGGGAGTTGGCTATGTTAGGATCATGTACTACTTCCTCAGTTTTTTATGAAATTATCAAGACCGAAAACATATTTGGTGAATGTGGTACTTAGAAACCTACCTTTTTAACAGATCACACACCCACCCTGTCAGTATCCCTAATCCACACAGTCAACGCTCATCATATCCCCATTGCCCAACAACTCATGACACACACTCCCATAGTACTAGTGCTGCCCCACTCCTACACACACACCTCTCCCCCACTCCGACACACACACCTCTCCCCCACTCCGACACACATCTCTCCTACACACCTCTCCCCCACTCCGACACACATCTCTCCTACACACCTCTCCCCCACTCCTACACACACACCTCTCCCCCACTCCTACACACACACCACTCCTACACACACACCTCTCCCCCACTCCTACACACACACACACCTCTCCCCCACTCCTACAAACATCTACAATCACCATCTTAGTATGTTTTTTTGCCCATCTTGTGTTCATTGTAATATTGTGTGTACAGCAGTATTTTAATAAAGAATACCAAAACATAGTGTGTTTTGTCTTGGTGTCATGCTGGTGAAGACAAAATGATTGTATTGGCAGTCAGTGTGGTAACTCTTTACTTCATTTTAAATGTGTTTTGAATACATACATAGAATACATACATACATACATACATACTTGTGTCAGTCAGGGCAAATGGCTCAGTGGCGATCATGCATGTTATACATTACTTCTACTCCATAGCTCCGCATCGATTGGAAAGGTCTGACATACAACATATACTGATTTAATGATCATTGACAGCAGTCGCCTTCCTTGACAAAATCTCATGAGGTTAACATACTGTAAATAAATAGGTAAAACACTAATACATTTTCTAATGAATAAATTCTTCCAGCATACACGTGTGTAGTAACATCATGGTCAGTTCACTGGAGACAACAGAGGTTCCTCTACTTCTAAGCTCTATACTCTGTACCCATATAGAGATAAGCAACGACAGTAAATATAATGGTAAATGGACACATGTTGTGGTGATGACACTATCATGGATTTAGCTGCTCTTTGTGGTGTGGGTGTAGCACCCTACCTAGGCCACGGGGAGGGGGGAGGGGAGAGGAGTAGGGTTTGTGAATTACTGAGGAAGCTCTGTTGTGTTACAATATTAAATATAATCTTTAGAGAGGAATTGTTTGTAGAGACAGATATTTGGAGGAGTAAAGTAGTCTGATAGTATGCTATGGGGAAATGATGCACTACACCATTAATTAATCTGTGACAAAGTTGTCGAAGAGGGAGGTAGGGAAAACGTTGAAGCAGGGATGGAGTGTTAGAGGGAGGAGGTTAGGGTGATGTTTAGATGGAGTGATATAGACAAGAGGGAGGGAGGCAGGCAGTTCTAGCCAGTGGGAGAAGCGTGACATAATGATAGAGGTGTGATGGACTAGTTAGAGGGAGGGGTAGAGGAAGGCAGAGTTGTAGTCGGGTGGAGGGGAACAGCTCTCCTCGGAGTCACAGTCACATGGGAGGACAGGCGGCTCATCGTCATGTAGACCAGTGATGTCATTACACATGCAGGGCACCAGGTTCTCCCTGCACTTACTGATGGTGAAGAACCTGCAAACACACAAACCCTCAATTCATTATCAATACAGAACAGAAAATACACTAATTTGTAGTCAATTAGGGGTTGTAGGTCAGGGGTTAGTGGTGGTGACCTTGTGAGGCTCTTGGAGCCGCTGGTCCATCTGAGACGTTTGAGTTCCTCAGAGGGTAGAACCATCCCGCTGTCACCCTGCTCATCCTGAAACACACCAGGTCTACACATTAGTGTGTGTGTGTGTGCACAAGAACATGTTTGATGTGTGTGTGAAACTGTTACATTGCTCATCCTGAAACACAGCAACACAGTGGACACTGACATCCGTGACAAGCATCAGTGTCTGGTGTGAGTAAGAATATAAATGTGAATCAGTGTGTGTCCCCTCACGTCCGGGCCAGGCGGGTCCTTGCTGGGCAGTTCCTCGAAGGTCCTGAGTGTCGCTGTGCTCCTGGTGTTCATGTAGCTGGAACATAATTAAAACATTACCAACTACAACCCATTGGACTGTACCAACTGTCATTTTTCTCTGTTTATGGGGTTGTTCCTAGCCTTACCCCAGACTGGTGAGTCTGTGTGGATGCAGGTCAGTCAGGGAGCTCTCTGTGTAGTCTCGCTGGACGCTGCTGTCTGGGTCTCTCTCTCCACACAGGAACGTGCCCAGGGGAATGTAGTCTTTCCCATCCTGATTATAGAAAAGGTTCAATGCATATGAAAGAGAGAGAGAGTAAGTGTGTGTGTGTGTATTACCTGTTGAACCCGTGCCTCCAGCAGGTCTCCCAGTGTTTCCACTAGGCCAGTGAAGGTGGGGCGGTCTGAGGGGTTAGCCTCCCAGCATGCCAGCATGGTGCTGTAACTACAGACAACACACACCAGTTATACCCACGCCACAGTCTCTCTTCATTTCTCTCTCCATCTATATCATATTTCTCTTTCTCACATTTCTGGAGTGCTGTACTCCGGGGCGCGCATGCGTGTTCCCTCCTTTAGTTGGTGGCAGAACTCCTCATCTATGTTCAGGCCAGGGTACGGGGAGGCTCCTGTGAGACGGACGGAGAAGAAGCCTTGAGTCTTGTCTAGGTGATACAGTAACTGTATATACTATTCATAGTACAAGCCATAGAGATCCTATTCAATTACTAGTATTCTAATTCCTAATTCTATGGTACCAGCAGTATGTGTTTTGTGTAAGTGGATATGAGGACCGACCCAGAGAGAATATCTCCCAGAGCAGAACTCCATAGGACCACACATCACTCTGGGTAGTGAACACCTTGTCAAAGATGGACTCTGGCGACATCCACTTCAATGGCAGCCTGGCCTGTGGAGAGCAGGGGTCATGGGTCAGAATCAGCCAAATAGCTGCCAGCAGGGAGTACAGTGTAGCCTGGTGGCAGATCTGTTTGTGCTGTCTTGCCAACTTGACAGGACAGCACAACTACTGTAGAGCTAAGAATAGGTTAAGTACACTGAAGTCCCCGTTATGAGGAGGAGATGATTGTGTGTGCGTGGACTCACGTCTCCCTTGCGGACGTAGTCGGGGTCTTTGTAGAGGTCTCTGGCCAGACCAAAGTCACAGATCTTCACCACTTTGTTCTCAGATAGCAGAATGTTCCTGGCAGCCAGGTCACGGTGGATACACTGATATAGAAACACAGAGGAGTGAACACACATTTTGAATGCACAATTTGGATCTATTGATTGCATCGAGGTGCAAATGAGCCACATATTTTCAAGGTCATATACTGTCTTGACAGACAGACAGAGACGCGCGCGCACACACACACACACACACACACACACACACACACACACACACACACACACACACACACACACACACACACACACACACACACACACACACACACACACACACACACACACACACACACACACACACACACACACACACACACACACACACACACACACACACACACACACACACACACACACACACACACACACACCACACACACACACACACACACACACACACACACACACACACACACACACACACACCACACACACACACACACACACACACACACACACACACACACACACACACACACACACACACACACACACACACACACACACACACACACACACACACACACACACACACACACACACACACACACACCACACACACACACACACACACACACACACACACACACACACACACACACACACACACACACCACACACACACACACACACACACACACACACACACACACACACACACACACACACACACACACACACACACACACACACACACACACACACACACACACACACACACACCACACACACACACACACACACACACACACACACACACACACACACACACACACCACACACACACACACACACACACACACACACACACACACACACACACACACACACACACACACACACCACACACACACACACACACACACACACACACACACACACACACACACACACACACACACACACACACACACACACACACACACACACACACACACACACACACACACAGGGGTATCAGACCTTGCGAGAGGCGAGAAACTCCATGCCTCGAGACACCTGGAAACTGTAGGAGATGAGATCCTCCAGGAACAGAGGAGACTTGGAGGCACCTAGAGAGAGAGAGAGAGTTATGGGAGAGGATTGAAAGATAAAAATCTCAACAACAAATAAAACGTGTAGATAAACCTTTTGGCTCGTCTCTTTCTTACCCCCCTCTGTGCTCTCTCTCTCCTCGAAACACCTCTTATTTCCATCCTCTCCTCCACTCACCTGTCACAGAGAGAGAGAATGAGTTGTGGTCAGTGTGGTCAGGTAGTACTAGCAGTCAATATGGAGCTACAGTTAGTGTGTGGAGTTATAGTTGAGTTGTAGTTCCAATGCAGTGTGTTGTGTAGCAGAGCTTAGTGTGTTTACTGGTGTAAGCTAGAGACAAACACACTGTGAGTGTTTACATGAATCATACAGGACTAAATACTCAGAACTACAGATTCTGACGTTAAGGAAAAAGGAAAAAGTCCCTCTTATTACAAATAACTCCACAGAACATCAGTTGATTGCAGAAGTGAGTTGGTGAAGTGTTTGCTTGCTTGAGGTTAATTTTGTATATCCATCACAGGAAATAAGACTTGTATGTGAGATAAGTATGATAGTCTGTAAGTCTGACATTAACACATTCATGACACTCTTCACAGCATCTATAAAGATATAGACAGAATGTCTTATCAATGGGAACTTGACCTCATCGAGGTCTGTAAGGTAAGGCTATGAGTATCTGCCTGTCTGTCTAGACAGAGGGAGAACTCACCCTGTTGAGCAGGAACACGTCTCTCTTGCTCTTCAGGTAGGTGGAGAGGTTTCCATACCTACAGTACTCCACTATGACCATCAGAGGCCCTGCCTTGGTGCAGGCTCCCAGCAGGTTGACCACATTCAGGTGGTGACCGATGTGGTTCAGGATCTTCAGTTCTGTCATCAGAGCCTTGTGCTCACTGGGAGTAGCCCCCTCTGGTGGACAGCATACAGCACATTATAAATACAGCACATTATTAATACAGCACATTATAAATACAGCACATTATAAATACATCACTTTATAAATACAGTACATTATAAATAAAGTACATTATAAATACAGCACATTCTTAATACAGCACATTATAACTACAGCACATTATAAATACATCACTTTATAAATACAGTACATTATAAATAAAGTACATTATAAATACAGCACATTGTTAATACAGCACATTATATCTACAGCACATTATAAATACATCACTTTATAAATACAGCACATTATAAATACAGCACATTATAAATACAGCACATTATCAATACAGCACATTATCAATACAGCACATTATCAATACAGCACATTATAAATACAGCACATTATCAATACAGCACATTATCAATACAGCACATTATAAATACAGCACTTTATAATGCCTGTCACTATGCTGGTAGAGTCATGTTCTATTCTATTCAGTTCTATTGTTTTACTCTACTCTATTCTGAATGGTCATCATTTGTCACGTCTTAGATATCATGACTCAGGTATAATTAATATAATGAAGCATGTACCTTTGAGCATCTTGACAGCCACAGTCCTGCAGCCTGTAGAGTTGTCGATGCCAAAGGCAGACGCCTGCATGACCTTCCCAAAGGCCCCACGGCCCAGAGGTTTCTCTGGAAGGACACAGAGAAATAATTAAAACACAATCTTATTTGTTTCTCAAATGGTGGGGTTGAAACCCAAAGGTGGGTTGTGGTTTAGCACTGGGCGCTGGCAGTCTATCAGACTCAATGTTTTGTTCATCTTCAGATTCATGAGAAAGTTCAAAAGGTTTCAGGTGGGAACCACCTAGACCTTTTATAAAACTTGAGAAATTAAAACGACATTTACTGTATACCCAACAAGCCCTGATGAGTCAAACTCAGATCCCACCCAAGCCAGACCTGATTAGTTACAGTAAACACAGCTCCCACCCTTGATAGACCTGATTAGCACAACACAGATAACACTGATTACATGGGGCACTCCCAGTCATCTCTGATGCAGATAAAATTGTTACGAGAAAGTGATCGTATCTATCACTAATCTTAATAATCTCCTCTCTCACAACTTTATACACAGGCAGTTCCTAGAAAGTCTGTAACCAATCACTACACAGTGTAACAAGTTGGTAACAAATTATGTAAAGTTATACCCAGTTTGAGGTGGTCTCTGGGGAACTCCCATTGGCCAGGGTCGTACTGTAGCCTATCACACTGCTCCTCCAGACGCCCCTCCCCTGGGTCCATGATGATTGAAAGGTACTCGGCCTTGGTACCCGAAGAGTTTGGCTGAGATAAATGTATTTATATAGAATTATCAAAAATAGGACAGATAATTATGCAATTTTATATATATATCTAGTCTACTCCATTTGTGTCTCACCTGTTTGAGTTTACGTATGAAGAGAGTGAGTAGCAGCCAGAAGAGAGTGGCCACCAGACAGGTACAGGTGAGAGTAGGGATCTCCAGAGACATGCCCTCTGATGAGTCTACACACAGAGAGAGAGGACTAGAATCTGAAGTCAAATGTCTACTGTTTGCTGATGATCTGGTGCTTCTGTCCCCAACCAATGAGGGCCTACAGCAGCACCTAGATATTCTGCACAGATTCTGTCAGACCTGGGCCCTGACAGTAAATCTCTTAAGACAAAAATAATGGTGTTCCAAAAAACCAAATTCCATCTAGACACCGTTGCCCTAGAGCTCACAAAAAACTATACATACCTCGGCCTAAACATCACCGCCACAGGTAACTTCCACAAAGCTGTGAACGATCTGAGAGACAAGGCAAGAAGGGCCTTCTATGCCATCAAAAAGAACATACAATTCGATATACCAATTAGGATCTGGCAAAAAATACTTGAATCAGTTATAGAACCCATTGCCCTTTATGGTTGTGAGGTCTGGGGTCCGCTCACCAACCAAGAATTCACAAAATGGGACAAACACCAAATTGAGACTCTGCATACAGAATTCTGCAAAAATATCCCCGGTGTACAACGTCAAACACCAAATAATGCATGCAGAGCAGAATTAGGCCGATACCCGCTAATTATCAAAATCCAGAAAAAAAATTACACACCCACTTAAAAGGAAGCGATTCCCAAACCTTCCATAACAAAGCCATCACCTAAAGAGAGATGAACCTGGAGAAGAGTCCCCTAAGCAAGCTGGTCCTGGGGCTCTGTTCACAAACACAAACAGACCCCACAGAGCCCCAGGACAGCAACAGCAACACAATTAGACCCAACCAAATCATGAGAAAACAAAAAGAGAATTACTTGACACATTGGAAAGAATTAACCTAAAAAAACAGCGCAAACTAGAATGCTATTTGGCCCTAAACAGAGAGTACACAGTGACAGAATACCTGACCACTGTGACTGACCCACAATTAAGGAAAACTTTGACTGTGTACAGACTCAGTGAGCATAGCCTTGCTATTGAGAAAGGCCGCCGTAGGCAGACCTGCACACTGCCCACAGAATTAGGTGGAAACTGAGCTGCACTTCCTATCCTCCTGCCAAATGTATGACCATAGAGACACATACAGTTGAAGTCGGATGTTTACATACACCTTAGCCAAATACATTTAAACTCAGTTTTTCACAATTCCCGACATTTAATCCTAGTACAAATTCCCTGTTAGGATCACCACTTTATTTTAAGAATGTGAAATGTCAGAATAATAGTAGAGAGAATTATTTATTTCAGCTTTTATTTCTTTCATCACATTCCCAGTGGGTCAGAAGTTTACATACACTCAATTAGTATTTGGTAGCATTGCCTTTAAATTGTTTAACTTGGGTCAAGCGTTTCGGGAAGCCTTCCACAAGCTTCCCACAATAAGTTGGGTGAAATTTGGCCCATTCCTCCTGACAGAGCTGGTGTAACTGAGTCAGGTTTGTAGGCCTCCTTGCTCGCACACGCTTTTTCAGTTCTGCCCACAAACTTTCAATAGAATTGAAGTCAGGGCTTTGTGATGGCCACTCCAATACCTTGACTTTGTTGTCCTTAAGCCATTTTGCCACAACTTTGGAAGAATGCTTGGGGTCATTGTCCATTTGGAAGAGCCATTTGTGACCAAGCTTTAACTTCCTGACTGATGTCTTGAGATGTTGCTTCAATATATCCACATCATTTTTCTTCCTCATGATGCCATCTATTTTGTGAAGTGCACCAGTCCCTCCTGCAGCAAACACCCCCACAGCATGACGCTTCTACCCCCGTGCTTCATGGTTGGGATGGTGTTCTTCGGCTTGCAAGCTTCCTCCTCCAAACATAACGCTGGTCATTATGGGCAAACAGTTCTATTTTTGTTTCATCAGACCAGAGGACATTTCTCCAAAAAGTATGATCTTTGTCCCCATGTGCAGTTGCAAACCCTAGTCTGGCTTTTTTATGGCGGTTTTGGAGCAGTGGCTTCTTCCTTGCTGAGCATAGGACTATGTCGATATAGGACTCGTTTTACTGTGGATATAGATACTTTTGTACCTGTTTCCTCCAGCATGTTTACAAGGTCCTTTGCTGTTGTTCTGGGATTGATTTGCATTTTTCGCACCAAAGTACGTTCATTTCTAGGAGCCAGAACGCGTCTCCTTCCTGCGCGGTATGACAGCTGCGTGGTCCCATGGTGTTTATACTTGTGTACTATTGTTTGTACAGATGAATATGGTACCTTCAGGCGTTTGGAAATTGCTCCCAAGGATGAACCAGACTTGTGGAGGTCTACAAATCTTTTTCTGAGGTCTTGGCTGATTTCTTTTGATTTTCCCATGATGTCAAGTGAAGAGGCACTGAGTTTGAAGGTAGGCCTTGAAATACATCCACAGGTACACCTCCAATTGACTCAAATGATGTCAATTAGCCTATCAGAAGCTTCTAAAGCCATGACATCATTTTCTGGAATTTTCCAAGCTGTTTAAAGGCACCGTCAACTTAGTGTATGTGAACTTCTGACCCACTGGAAGTGTGATACAGTGAATTATAAGTGAAATAATCTGTCTGTAAACAATTGTTGGAAAAATTGCCAAAACGATAGTTTGTTAACAAGAAATGTGTAGAGTGGTTGAAAAATGAGTTTTAATGACTCCAACCTAAGTGTATGTAAACTTCCGACTTCAACTGTATTTCCCTCAGATTACACAGACCCACAAAGAATTTGAAAACAAATCCAATTTTGATAAACTCCCATATATATTGGGTGAAATACAACAGTGTGCAATCACAGCAGCAATATTTGTGACCTGTTGCCACAAGAAAAGGGCAACCAGTGATGAACAAACACCATTGTAAATACAACCCATATTTATGTTTATTTATTTTTACTTTAACTATTTGCACATCGTTACAACACTGTACATAGCCATAATATGACATTTGAAATGTCTCTATTCCTTTGGAACTTTTGTGAGTGTAATGTTTATTTCACTTTTGTCTATTATCTATTTCACTTGCTTTGGCAATGTAAACATATGTTTCCCATGCCAATAAAGCACTTTGAATTGAATTGAATTGAGAGAGAGAGAGAGAGAGAGAGGGGGGGGGAGAAAGAGAGAGCGAGAGGGAGAGAGGGGAGAGAGAGAGAGAGAGAGAGAGAGAGAGAGGGAGAGAGAGAGAGAGAGGGAGAGAGAGAGGGAGAGAGGGAGAGAGGGAGAGAGAGAGAGAGAGAGAGAGAGAGAGAGAGAGAGAGAGAGAGAGAGAGAGAGAGAGCATGATTGAAATTAATCTAAGGATTTACCAATTTTTTGAAGTATAGGAATAGAACCATAGAGATGAACAAGGCCCTCTTGGAATACTTATTCTCTCCTCCCTCGCTTCAAGTAAAATCACTTATCTGATATTCATTTCACCCTTGCTCTGCAGTTCTCTACCCTCCCAAACCAGGGCGCTGTTCTCTCACTGTCCCTCCGTCCGTCCCTCCCTCCCTCCTTCCCTCCCTGTCTGTCCTAGCCTCTGATCAGGGTGGAAATGGCCCAACAGGCTCAAACACAAACAGCCATCCTCCTCATTCATCTTGTTGTTTTTCTGAAGATATAGAAATAGCCCCAGTTTACGGGGCAGCAGAGTGGGGCTTCCGAAAGGAAATCAAAAAGGGAGACAGCTTCCTTCCTGACTTATTAGAACACAACAACACTCAGCCACTCCTCTCCATGGTCAGGCTAGGCAGCGTCCGGTAGCTGCTACCCAGGGAAGGGCCCTCCAAACAGAGGTGACTGACACTGGACCAGCCTCTACTGGAAAGGACTGGGTCACGTACCAAAGACTCTCTAAAGTAGGGAACATCAATCAAGACTTATAAGGATAGCAGGACTATCTAAAGCAGTGTCTAGTTTTGTCTTTACAACTTACCCTATTAGCTGTAGCTTTACTCGTCACTCTTGTTCTAATAAATAATGATTAGATTACTGTTATATGTATAAGGTTGATCATCTAATGGATTGTCATTCATACCCTTTAACACTCATATCCCGGCTATCACAAGAGTGTTCATCCACAGGCACCAACATGACCAAATATGGAAGAACGGACGGTTATAGAACAAGAGAGGAGAGAGAGTTTAATGTATTCCAGAGTTACTATTGGTCAATGCATCCTTACTGTGAACCCAGATGTAGGCGGAGCTCTCAGCAGAGCCTCTCTCATTGGTTGCCTGGCAGGTGTACAGACCCTGGTCCTCCACTGTGATTCGGTCAATGTGGAGGTTCTCGCCTCCTGGTGCTATGACGATACCTGCACATGAGAAACAGAACATGTCACATTAATTTCCCAACACCAACTTCAGGAGTCATTCTCAACAGTTTGAAGAGGATTCCTCTCTCATCTTCTTGTCTTTATTCAGATTTATTCAGATCAGCGCAGGTGAAGTAAAAAGAGGAGGAGAGGAAGTCACTTTAGACTATTGACACTCCGAGTCACCAAGCAACTCAACTTTCACTGTTGTAATTTTCCCATATACAGTGGGGAGAACAAGTATTTGATACACTGCAGATTTAGCAGGTTTTCCTACTTACAAAGCAGGTAGAGGTCTGTAATTTTTATCATAGGTACACTTCAACTGTGAGAGACGGAATCTAAAATAAAAATCCAGAATATCACATTGTATGATTTTTAAGTAATTAATTTGCATTTTATTGCATGACATAAGTATTTGATCACCTACCAACCAGTAAGAATTCCGGCTCTCACAGACCTGTTAGTTTTTCTTTAAGAAGCCCTACTGTTCTCCACTCATTACCTGTATGAACTGCACCTGTTTGAACTCGTTACCTGTATAAAAGACACCTGTCCACACACTCAATCAAACAGACTCCAACCTCTCCACAATGGCCAAGACCAGAGAGCTGTGTAAGGACATCAGGGATAAAATTGTAGACCTGCGCAAGGCTGGGATGGGCTACAGGACAATAGGCAAGCAGCTTGGTGAGAAGGCAACAACTGTTGGCTCAATTATTAGAAAATTGAAGAAGTTCAAGATGACGGTCAATCACCCTCGGTCTGGGGCTCCATGCAAGATCTCACCTCGTGGGGCATCAATGATCATGAGGAAGGTGAGGGATCAGCCCAGAACTACACGGCAGGACCTGGTCAATGACCTGAAGAGAGCTGGGACCACAGTCTCAAAGAAAACCATTAGTAACACACTACGCCGTCATGGATTAAAATCCTGCAGCGCACGCAAGGTCCCCCTGTTCAAGCCAGCGCATGTCCAGGCCCGTCTGAAGTTTGCCAATTACCATATGGATGATCCAGAGGAGGAATGGGAGAAGGTCATTTGGTCTGATGAGACAAAAATAGAGCTTTTTGGTCTAAACTCCACTCGCCGTGTTTGGAGGAAGAAGAAGGATGAGTACAACCCCAAGAACACCATCCCAACCGTGAAGCATGAAGGTGGAAACATTATTCTTTGGGGATGCTTTTCTGCAAAGGGGACAGGACGACTGCACCGTATTGAGGGGAGGATGGATGGGGCCATGTATCGCGAGATCTTGGCCAACAACCTCCTTCCCTCAGTAAGAGCATTGAAGATGGGTCGTGGCTGGGTCTTCCAGCATGACAACGACCCGAAACACACAGCCAGGGCAACTAAGGAGTGGCTCCGTAAGAAGCATCTCAAGGTCCTGGAGTGGCCTAGCCAGTCTCCAGACCTGAACCCAATAGAAAATCTTTGGAGGGAGCTGAAAGTCCGTATTGCCCAGTGACAGCCCCGAAACCTGAAGGATCTGGAGAAGGTCAAATGGAGGAGTGGGCCAAAATCCCTGCTGCAGTGTGTGCAAACCTGGTCAAGACCTACAGGAAACATATGATCTCTGTACTTGCAAACAAAGGTTTCTGTACCAAATATTAAGTTCTGCTTTTCTGATGTATCAAATACTTATGTCATGCAATAAAATGCAAATTAATTACTTAAAAATCATACAATGTGATTTTCTGGATTTTTGTTTTAGATTCCGTCTCTCACAGTTGAAGTGTACCTATGATAAAAATTACAGACCTCTACATGCTTTGTAAGTAGGAAAACCTGCAAAATCGGCAGTGTATCAAATACTTGTTCTCCCCACTGTATATACTGAAAAAATATATAAACGCAACATGTAAAGTGTTGGTCCCATGTTTCATGAGCTGAAATAAAAGATCTCAGAAATGTTCCATACGCACAAGCTTATTTCTCTTAAATTTTGTGCACAAATTTGTTTACATCCCTGTTAGTGAGCATTTCTCCTTTGCCAAGTTAATCCATCCACCTGACAGGTGTGGCATATCAAGAAGCTGATTAAAAAGCATGATCATTACACAAGTTCACCTTGTGCTGGGGACAATAAAAGGCCACTAAAATTTGCAGTTTTGTCACACAACACGATGCCACAGATGTCTCAAGTTTTGAGGGAGCTTACAATTGGCATGCTGACTGCAGGACTGTCCACCAGAGCTGTTGCCAGAGAATTGAATGTTCATTTCTCTACCACAAGCCGCTTCCAATGTTGTTTTAGAAAATTTGGCAGTACGTCCAACCGGCTTCACAACAGCAGACCACGTGTAACCACGCCAGCCCAGGACCTCCACATCCGGCTTCTTCACCTGCAGGATCGTCTGAGACCAGCCACCCGGACAGCTGAGGAATATTTCTGTCTGTAGTAAAGCCCTTTTGTGGGGATAAACTCATTCTGATTGGCTGGGCCTGTCTCCCCAGTGGGTGGGCCTGGCTCCCAAGTGGGTGGGCCTATGCCCTCCCAGTCCCACCAATGGCTGTGCCCCTGCCCAGTCATGTGAAATCCATAGATTAGGGCCTAATTTATTTATTTCAATTGACTGATTTCCTTATATGAACTGTAACTCAGTAAAATCGTTGAAAGTGATGCATGTTGCGTTTATATTTTTGTTCAGTACAGTTGAGACGGGGATAGAAGATCACTGTGCCTCCCACCTGATCCCTGAAGCAGTGTGTGTTGGTCCTTGTACCATGTGATGAAGGGGCGTGGCACGCCGTGGGCACGGCAGCTGAGTGTCACTGAGCTGCTGACGTTCACGCTACAGTCAGACAGATTCTGTAACAGCACCGGAGCCTCCAGTACTGTGGGGGAACACACACCATGAGTGTGTGCATGATTAGTTGTGTGTGTGTGAGAGAGAGATGTGGCCAAGGTCCACATGAACAGAGGTCATCATTGTATCACAAAATGTTGAGTTACTTCAATGTCAAGTGAATAAATTCCAACAGAACAGATGAGTCATAAGTCATGCAGTAGTCCTATGAATAGTCATAAGTCATGCAGTTGTCCCACGAATAGTCATAAGTTATACAGCGGTATGATGAATAGTCATAAGTCGTACAGTAGTACTATGAACAGTCATAAGTTATACAGTAGTCCCATGAAGAGTCATAAGTCATGCAGTAGTCCCATGAATGGTCAGAAGTTATACAGCGGTATGATGAATAGTCATAAGTTATACAGTAGTACTATGAATAGTCACAAGTTATACAGTGGCACTATGACTAGTCATAAGTCATACAGTAGTCCTATGAAGAGTCATAAGTCACACAGTTGTCCTATGAATAGTCATAAATTATACAGTAGTCCCATGAGTAGCCATAAGTCATACAGTAGTCCCATGAATAGTCACAAGCTACACAGCAGTTCCATGAATAGTCATAATTTATACAGTGGCACTATGAATAGTCATAAGTTATACAGTAGTCCCATGAATAGTCATAAGTTATACAGTAGTACTATGACCAGTCATAAGTCATACAGTAGTCCTACGAAGAGTCATAAGTTATACAGTAGTCCCATGAATAGTCATAAGTTGTACAGTAGTCCCATGAATAGTCATAAGTCATACAGTAGTACTATGAATAGAATTAGTGTCGTTTTCCCTTTTCTTTCTCTACAAATTGAAGCAGGGATATTTGACATCCCTCCCTGGACCCCTGCCACGCTCTGACGACAATGTGTGTGTTAGTGACACATTTCTGTGTATGTGTGTGTGTGCGTGTGTGTGTGTGTGTGTATGTGTGTGTCTGTGAGTGTGTGTGGCCTTAACTTCAACTTCACGTCAGCTGACCTGGGTTCCTCTTGGGTTTGTAATAGTAATCTTAAAATAGCCCTTTTCCCACTGGCCACAACAATGTATTGTCATCAAGGCGGTTATTAGCTGTTAATAGGCCATTGGTTATTATTCATAAATGGCCACTACATTTTAAACATTACTCACCACCTAGACTACAAAGACTACAATAGGATGACATCCCCCCCTCTCTAGTTAAAAGCCCATGGGGGTCTTTGAGAGGAAGTCTATGCGTCGAGGTTTGCAGCAGCAGTAAAAGACATGAAAATAAGGGACTTAAGTAATGTGGGACTGATTGTTTTTCCCCATATCTTCCTCCTGGACAACAATTGATGATTGTCTGTGAGTCCGTGGTTTGACAGTGTCTGATTGGCTGATTGTTCCTCTGGCCCTGTGAAGGGGCCTGTAAATGTGGCATTGTGGGAATTGCCATTGTGTCCTCTTCCTCCTGACGAGGGAGCATTCCCACGTGAAAGAAAGAGGTGCAGGGAGAGAGAGAGCAGGAGAGCAAACTGAGGCAGGGAGGGGCCCCAGGAAACTACAGGACCCAGTTCCCAAGCACTGATCTGAGTGTGTGTGTGTGTGTGTATCACTGTGTGTGAATGTGAGTGTTTATGTACATACCAGATGGTGAATGAATGCCGTTATCCCCATACAATGTAAAGGGACATATAGGCAATCCATTAAATTCATAAAAACAATTCTGCTGAGTTGAAATGACAGGTGTGAGCACGTCTATGAGTATGTTGATATGAGTATGACCCTGTTTGTTAATGGATGTGTGAATGTGTCATAGTAATGACAATAATAATGATGGTAATGATGATGGTAATGATGATGGCAATGATGATGCTAACGATGACGGTAATGATGATGGTAATGACGACGGTAATGATGATGGTAATGAGGTTGGTAAGGATGATGGTAATGATGATGACAATGACGATGGTAATGAGGTTGGTAATGATGACGATAATGATGATGATAATGACAACTGTAATGACGAACGGTAATGATGACGTAATGACGATGTAATGACGATTGTAATGACGATGGTAACGACGATGGTAATGACGATGTAATGATGATGGTAATGATGACGTAATGATGATGATAATGATGATGGTAATGATGATGATCATCATAATGATGATGATCAGAGTGGTCTGGTGTGAGAGGTCAGAGGGCTCACCTCTGACGTCCACCTGTGTGTCCAGACGTGTGTTCTGTCCCGTCAGCAGGTGATGGGCGGAGCAGCGGTAGGTTCCAGAATCCCCCGCCGTCAGGTTGCTAAGCAATAGACTCAGAGTGTCAGAAAACTCTCCTAAGGACAGTTCACCACCCAGGGAGGGGATTGGGGGTGTGGCCTCTGCTGTGTCAGTCACCCGTTGCCATGACAACTTGGTGTACAGGTGCTTATTGGCTACGCAGGTGAGGTGTAGGTCTCCTCCCTCCCTTGGCTCCTCCTCCTGACTCACACTGAAGCCTCCTGGGACATCTGAGAGAGAGAGGGGGGAGACAGAGAGGAATCGGGAGAGAGGCAAAGAAGGAGGGGGGAGTGAGGAGAGGGGTAAGGGGAGATAGGGAGGGAGAGAGGGAAGGAAGGAGGGGGGAAAGGAGCGAGAGAGGGATGCAGAGATTCAGTTCCTATTCAAGCCACTCTGGTCTACACCTCCCTATACAAACAGCTCTGAAAACCCTTTTACAGACACTCTTATCCAGAGCGACTTACAGTTAGTGAGTGCATACATTTTCATACTGGCCCCCCGTGGGAAACGAACCCACAACCCTGGCGTTGCAAGCGCCATGCTCTACCAACTGAGCTACACGGGGCCCCACAACAAACCTCCCTGCCCACCATCTCACTAGACCTCCAACGAATCTGACTCCTACTCTCAAGTGTTGACCAAGCCGCCATTTTCTTATCCTTTGATGACAATGTTGAATAACTATTGTGGGTAAAAGCAGCCAGAGGAATACAGTGAAAATGCCTTTTATTTACTTTAGCTATTTGAAATTTCCTGTGGAAACGGCTCTAGGGTTTCCTGATGGCAGATAGTGTTTATCTTTCCCGAACACCCCCAGGCCTCCCGAAATAAAGAGGGCCTGGCGGCCCAGGGAAGTGCACCCCGCACAGGGAAGAGACTCGATAAGAGCCCCAGGTTCCTGTTTCACTCAAACACACACATACACACACAGGGGACAACACACACACACACAGGGGACAACACACACACACACACACAGGGGCAACACACACAGGGGACAACACACACACAGGGGACAACACACACACACACACACACACAGGGGCGACACACACAGGGGACAACACACACACAAACACACACACACACAGAGGCGACACAAATACACAGCAGACAACACACACTCACGTACACACACAGGGTCCAATTCACACTAGCACACAGAGGGGGATAATACACACACAGGGTAAAACACACACACACCTCTGCCCCATCTCCATGGCAACATATTGACATACAGTACCAGTCAAAAGTTTGGACACACCTACTCATTCAAGGGTTTTTCTTAATTTTTTACTATTTTCTACATTGTACAATAATAGTGAAGACATCAAAACTATGAAATAACACATATGGAATCATGTAGTAACCAAAAACGTGTTAAACAAATCAAAATAAATTTTGTATTTTAGATTCTTCAAAGTAGCCACCCTTTGCCTTGATGACAGCTTTGCACACTCTTGGCATTCTCTCAACCAGCTTCACCTGGAATGCTTTTCCAACAGTCTTGAAGGAGTTCCCACATATGCTGAGCACTTGTTGGCTGCTTTTCCTTCACTCTGCGGTCCAACTCATCCTAAATCATCTCAATTGGGTTAGGTTGGGGGATTGTGGAGGCCAGGTCATCTGATGCAGCACTCCATCACTCTCCTTCTTGGTCAAATAGCCCTTACACAGCATGGGTCATTGTCCTGTTGAAAAACAAATGATAGTCCCACTAAGCGCAAACCAGATGGGATGGCGTATCGCTGCAGAATGATGTGGTAGCCATGCTGGTTAAGTGTGCCTTGAATTCTAAATAAATCACCAACAGTGTCACCAGCAAAGCACCCCCACACCATCACACCTCCTCCTCCTGCATGCTTCACTGTGGGAACCACACATACGGAGATCATCCATTCACCTACTCTACGTCTCACAAAGACACGGCGGTTGGAACCAAAAATCTCACATTTGGACTCATCAGACCAAAGGACAGATTTCCACCGGTCTAATGTCCATTGCTCGTGTTTCTTGGCCCAAGCAAGTCTCTTCTTCTTATTGGTGTCCTTTAGTAGTGGTTTCTTTGAAGAACATGAAGGCCTGATTCACACAGTCTCCTCTGAACAGTTGATGTTGAGATGTGTCTGTTACTTGAACTCTGTGAAGCATTTATTTGGGCTGCTATCTGAGGTGCAGTTAATTGCCAATTTCTGAGGCTGGTAACTCTAATGAACGTATCCTCTGCAGCAGAGGTAACTCTGGGTCTTCCATTCCTGTGGCGGTCCTCATGAGAGCCAGTTTTATCATAGCGCTTGATGGTTTTTCGTCTGCACTTTCAGAAACTTTAAAAGTTCTTGAAATTTTCCGGATTGACTGACCTTCATGTCTTAAAGTAATGATGGACTGTCGTTTCTCTTTGCTTATTTGAGCTGTTCTTGCCATAATATGGGCTTGGTCTTTTACCAAATAGGTCTATCTTCTGTATACCACCCCTACCTTGTCACAACACAACTAATGCTCAAACGCATTAAGAATGAAAGAAATTCCACAAATTAACTTTTAATGTGGCACACCTGTTAATTGAAATGCATTCCAGGTGACTACCACATGAAGCTGGTTGAGAGAATGCCAAGAGTGTGCAAAGCTGTCATCAAGGCATAGGGTGGCTACTTTGAAGAATCTGAAGTATAAAATATATTTTGATTTGTTTAACCCTTTTTTGGTTACTACATGATTCCATATGTGTTATTTCATAGTTTTGATGTCTTCACTATTATTCTACCATGTAGAAAATAGTAAAAATAAAGAAAAACCCTTGAATGAGTAGGTGTGTCCAAACATTTGACTGGTACTGTATAGCCACACAAACATCCACACACACAGTCATCAATTTGTCTGATTTTAGCTGGACATCACAGTGACTCAGAAAGAGAGGGGGAGGAATTGAGAGAGACAAAAGGACAAGAGGAAGAGAAAAGGCATGAGAAAGAGGAAGAGACTGGGAGAGATGAAGGTGAGGCAGAGGTGATATGACATCCTTCATAGTTAGTCATTGATACATTTTACGTTGTGACACATATACAGATGTAGGATCTTAATTTAAGACAGTTTGCTACAGCAAGAAAATAATCCTGCAGCAACAGGAAATGTGAATTAAAATGTGGATTATAATGAATGGACATTTTTTGCAGGGGTTGATACATTTTTCGTTAGGGCAAAGTCTTACATTTTAAAGTGGAAATTACAAACTTTAGAAGCCTTTTTAAACCTTGAATACATTACAAGTTTGCATTTCCTGCTGTGCAGGAAAATACTCAGCAACAAAATAATGATCAAATGAAGATCCTACATCTGTACACACTAATGTATGCAATGGTGCACATACTGGTAGTACTATACTGCAAGTCATGATGAAGGATGTAGTTTTGATTTTGTGACTGTAGTGACCAGTTTGTTGGTGTGATGTCGTTGGACTCTACCTGTTATATAGAAGGGCATGTCCAGTTCATCCTTGCCCACAGAGTTAGAGGCAATACAGCGATACACTCCGGACACAAACGCCTCAGCAACCATCAAAACCCCCACGGTCTGTAGAAAATACATACACGCACGAGCGTGCGCCCACACACACACACACACACACACACACACACACACTTTACCTCTGCTGCCACCGATAACAGTGGTCACATTTTCCATTTTCCAATGAGAAGACAATAGAGGTATCTGAACCAGCCCTACCGCCCACCTCCAGACTACAGGGAAGCTAAACACATTACACACACTCAATTAACCCTACCCTACACTACCACCAGACGGCATCCCTAGCCGAGACCTCAGAGTATTTGCAGACGAGCTGGCTGGAGTGTTTACGGACATATTCAATCTCTCCCTATCCCAGTCTGCTGTTCCCACTTGCTTCAAGATGTCCACCATTGTTCCTGTACCCAAGAATCAAATCAAATTGTATTGGTCACATACACATATTTAGCAGATGTTATTGCGGGTGTAGCGAAATGCTTGTGTTCCTAGCTCCAACAGTGCAGTAGTATCTAACAATTCACAACAATACACACAAATCTAAAAGTAAAAGAGTGGAATTAAGAAATATATAAATATTAGCATGAGCAATGTCGGAGTGGCATTGACTAAAATACAGTAGAATAGAATTAGTATATACATATGAAATGAATAAAGCAGTATGTAAACCTTATTAAAGTAACTAGTGTTTAATTATTAAAGTGACCAGGGATTCCATGTCTATATATATAGGTCAGCAGCCTCTAAGGTGCAGGGTTGAGTAACCGGGTGGTAGCCGGCTAGTGATGGCCATTTAACAGTCTGATGGCCTTGAGATAGAAGCTTCTTTTCAGTCCCAGCTTTGATGCACCTGTACTGACCTCGCCTTCTGGATGGTAGCGGTGTGAACAGGCTATGGCTCGGATGGTTGATGTCCTTGATAATCATTTTGGCCTTCCTGTGACATCGGGTGCTGTAGGTGTCCTGGCGGGCAGGCAGAGTGCCCCCGGTGATGCGATAGGCAGACTGCACCACCCTCTGGAGAGCCCTGCGGTTGCGGGCGGTGCAGTTAATGTACCAGGCGGTGATACAGCCCGACAGGATGCTCTCAATGGTGCATCTGTACAATTCTGTGAGGGTCTTAGGGGCCAAGGCAAATTTCTTCAGCCTCCTGAGGTTGAAGAGGCACTGTTGCGCATTCTTCAACACACTGTCTGTGTGGGTGGACCATTTCAGATTGTCAGTGATGTGTACGCCGAGGAACTTTAAGCTTTTCACCTTCTCCACTGCGGTCCCGTCGATGTGGATAGGGGTGTGCTCCCTCTGCTGTCTCCTGAAGTCCACGATCAGCTCCTTAGTTTTGTTGACATTGAGGGAAATTGGTTATTTACCTGGCACCACTCCGCCAAGGCCCTCACCTCCTCCCTGTAGGCTGTCTCGTCATTGTTGGTAATCAGGCCTACTACTGTTGTGTTGTCTGCAAACTTGATGATTGAGTTGGAGGCGTGCGTGACCACAAAGTCATGTGTGAACAGGGAGTACAGGAGGGGTCTGAGAACGCACCCTTGTGGGGCCCCTGTGTTGAGGATCAGCGTAGTGGAGGTATTGTTTCCTACCTTCACCACCTGGGGGCGGCCCGTCAGGAAGTCCAGGACCCAGTTGCTTGGAGGGTACTATGGTGTTGAAGGCTGAGCTATAGTCAATGAACAGTATTCTTACGTAGGTATTCCTCTTGTCCAGATGGGATAGGGCAGTGTGCAGTGCGATGGTGATTGCATCGTCTGTGAATCTATTGGGGCGGTATGCAAATTGAAGTGGGTCCAGGGTGTCAGGTAAGGTAGAGGTGATATGAGCCTTAACTAGCCTCTCAAAGCACTTCATGATGACAGAAGTGAGTGCTACGGGGCGATAGTCATTTAGTTCAGTTACCTTTACTTTCTTGGGTACAGGAACAATGGTGGACATCTTGAAGTAGGGACAGCAGACTGGGATAGGGAGAGATTGAATATGTCCATAAACACTCCAGCCAGCTGGTCTGCGCATGCTCTGAGGACGCGGCTAGGGATGCCGTCTGGGCCGGCAGCCTTGTGAGGGTTAACACGCTTAAATGTCTTACTCACGTCGGCCACGGAGAACGAGAGCCCGCAGTCCTTGGGAGCGGGCATCGTCGGTGGCACTGTGTTATCCTCAAAGTGGCTGGTTTTCCCTTTGTAATCCGTGATTGTCTGTAGACACTGCCACATATTTCTCGTGTCATCCTATCGGCTGTATCACCGCCTGGTACAGCAACTGCACCGTCTGCAACCGCAGGGCTCTCCAGAGGGTGATGCGGTCAGCCTAATGCATCACCAGGAGCACACTGCCTGCCCTTCAGGACATCTACAGCACCACAGGAAGGCCAAGAAGATCATCAAGGACCTCAGCCAACCAAGCCATGGCCTGTTCACCCCCCTATCATCCAGAAGGCGAGGTCAGTACAGGGGTTCAAAGCTGGGACCGAGAGACTGAAAAACAGTTTCTATCTCAAGGCCATCAGACTGTTAAATAGCCATTACTATCCGGCCTCCACCCAGAACCCTGCCCTGAACTTAGTCACTGTCACTAGCCGCCTACCACCTGGTTACGCATCCCTGCACCTTAGAGGCTGCTGCCCTATGTACATAGACATGGAACACTGGCCACTTTAATAATGGAACACTGGCCACTTTAATAATGGAACACTGGTCACTTTAATAATGTTTACTTACTGTTGTACCCATTTCATATGTACTGTATTCTAGTCATGGCCATCCTATTCAACTATTGCTGTACATATACTATTCTATCCTACATATTCTTCAGATATACTACATATTCTATCCACATACTGTCCACAATGTCTATACATCCCATCACATATATATACTGCATATTTACAGTGCATTCGGAGAGTATTCAGACCCCTTCCCTTTTTCCACATTTTGTTACTTTACAGCCTTATTCTAAAATGGATTAAATAAAACAATTTCCTCATCAATCTACACACAATACCCCATAATGACAAAGCGAAAATTGGTTTTTAGACATTTTCGCTAATTTATTAAAAATTAAAAACTGAAATACCTTATTTACATAAGTATTCAGGCCCTTTGCTATGACACTCGAAATTGAGCTCAGGTGCATCCTGTTTCCATTGATCATCCTTGTGATGTTTCTACAACTTGATTGCAGTACACCTGTGGTAAATTCAATTGATTGGACATGATTTGGAAAGGTACACACTTGTCTATATAAGGTCCCACAGTTGACAGTGCATGTCAGAGAAAAAACCAAGCCATGAGGTCGAAGGAATTGTCCGTAGAGCGCCGAGACAGGATTGTGTCGAGGCACAGATCTGGGGAAGGGTACCAAAACATTTCTGCAGCATTGAAGGCCCCCAAGAACACAGTGGCAGCCATCATTTTTAAATGGAGGAAGTTTGGAACCACCAAGAATCTTCCTAGATGTTTTTCAGCGGCAGGGACTGGGAGACTAGTCAGGGTCGAGGGAAAGATGAACGGAGCAATGTACAGAGAGTTCCTTGATGAAAACCTGCTCCAGACTAGGGCGAAGGTTCACCTTCCAACAGGACAACGACCCTAAGCACACAGCCAAGACAACGCAGGAGTGGCTTCTGGACAAGTCTCTGAATGTCCTTGAGTGGCCCAACCAGAGCCCAGACTTGAACCCGATCAAACAATAGCTGTGCAGTGAAGCTCCCCATCCAACCTGACAGAGCTTGAGAGGATCTGCAGAGAAGAATGGGAGAAACTCCCCAAATACAGGTGTGCCAAGCTTATAGCGTCATACCCAAGAAGACTCGAGGCTGTAATCGCTTCCAAAGGTGCTTCAACAAAGTACTGAGTAAAGGGTCTGAATACTTATGTAAATGTGTTATTTAAGTGTTTAATTTTTTATAAATTTGCAAACATTTCTAAAAACCTGTTTTTGCTTTGTCATTATGGGGATTGTGTGTAGATTGATGAGGGGAAAAAAACAGTTTAATGAAGTTTAGAATAAGGCTGTAACGTAACAAAATGTGGAAAAAGTGAAGGGGTCTGAATACTCCAGACTCCGACATTGCTTGTCCTAATATTTCTATATTTCTTAATTACATGCTTTTACTTTTAGATTTGCGTGTATTGTTAGATATTACTGCACTGTCGGAGCTAGGAACATAAGCATTTCACTACACCCACAATAACATCTGCTAAACATGTGTATGTGACCAATAAAATGTGATTTGATTTCAATAAGTGTGTGTGAGAGAGAGAGATTAATGAGTTGTAGCACTAGCATCTGTATGTATATGATATCTGTAGTGTGTTTGGGAGTGTCAGCGTTTGATTAAATGGTTATTGATATACATGTATGATGGTGCCATGTATCTATTTGTAATCGATCATGGCTGTGTCAGTGTGCTACTAGTCTCTCTGTGGAATGTGTTTATAATCCATCACAATCCCTCCCTCTGTGTCTCTGTCTGCCCGCTCCACCGGTGGTGTGCTCACCTTATTCTTCCCTTGGAGGACTTCCTGTCTGTGTGTGACACTCAGGATGTGGTTGTGTGTGGACGTGCCGGGGGCCCTCTCTCTCACGGGGCTCCACAGTGAGGAGGAAGGAGGACACACACACCTTGGAGGAAGAGAGGGACAGGGCTCAGTTCAGCTGTGTTGACATAGTAGAGTCCCGGCTAGCCGGACAGCAGGTGTGTGTGTGAGAGTGTGTGTGTTCCACAGCTGTGCGCCGCAGGAGGAACACCGGAGCTTATCATCGCTATTGTGATCGCTATCTTCATCTTGATCATCCTCCTCCTCGTCATCATCCTCCTCCTCCTCATCATCCTCATCCTCATCCTCATCATCCTCGTCATCATCCTCATCCTCATCATCCTCATCATCATCCTCATCATCCTCATCATCCTCATCATCATCATCCTCATCCTCATCATCCTCATCATCATCATCATCCTCATCATCCTCATCATCCTCGTCATCATCCTCCTCCTCATCCTCATCCTCATCATCCTCATCATCATCCTCATCATCCTCATCCTCCTCCTCATCCTCATCCTCGTCAACATCCTCATCATCATCATCCTCATCATCATCCTCATCATCATCCTCATCATCCTCATCATCATCATCGTCCTCATCCTCCTCCTGATCCTCATCCTCGTCATCCTCATCCTCATCATCCTCGTCATCATCCTCATCCTCATTCTCATCATCCTCCTCCTCCTCCTCATCATCATCATCCTCATCATCCTCATCATCCTCATCATCATCATCCTCATCATCATCCTCCTCATCCTCATCATCATCCTCCTCATCATTATCCTCGTCATCATCCTCATCCTCATCATCCTCATCCTCATCCTCATCCTCATCCTCATCATCCTCGTCATCATCCTCCTCATCATCATCCTCGTCATCCTCATCATCATCCTCATCCTCATCCTCATTATCCTCATCATCATCATCCTCATCCTCATCCTCATCCTCCTCCTCATCATCCAATGCTGGATTGCTTTTTTGTGGAGAAAAAAAATCTAACGTTTCTTCAAAAGTAATGAAAAAGGAAACACTAATATACCTTGATTAGATACATATTCAATACATGTCAAAAATACCTTTGGCAGCGATTACAGATGTGAGTCTTCTTGGGTAAGTCTCTAAGAGCTTCGCACACCTAGATTGCAATATTTGCCCATTATTCTTTAAAAAAGTCTTCAAGTTCTGTCAACACAGCAATTTTAAAGTCTTGCCATAGATTTTCAAGCAGATGTACAGTGGGGGAAAAAAGTATTTAGTCAGCCACCAATTGTGCAAGTTCTCCCACTTAAAAAGATGAGAGAGGCCTGTAATGTTCATCATAGGTACACGTCAACTATGACAGACAAAATGAGAAAAAAAAATCCAGAAAATCACATTGTAGGATTTGTAATGAATTTATTTGCAAATTATGGTGGAAAATAAGTATTTGGTCAATAACAAAAGTTTCTCAATACTTTGTTATATACCCTTTGTTGGCAATGACACAGGTCAAACGTTTTCTGTAAGTCTTCACAAGGTTTTCACACACTGTTGCTGGTATTTTGGCCCATTCCTCCATGCAGATCTCCTCTAGAGCAGTGATGTTTTGGGGCTTCCACCCCCATGCTTCACAGTATGTATGGTGTTCTTTGGATGCAACTCAGCATTCTTTGTACTCCAAACACGACGAGTTGAGTTTTTACCAAAAAGTTCTATTTTGGTTTCATCTGACCATATGACATTCTCCCAATCCTCTTCTGGATCATCCAAATGCACTCTAGCAAACTTCAGACGGGCCTGGACATGTACGGGCTTAAGCAGGGGGACACGTCTGGCACTGCAGGATTTGAGTCCCTGGCGGCGTAGTGTGTTACTGATGGTAGGCTTTGTTACTTTGGTCCCAGCTCTCTGCAGGTCATTCACTAGGTCCCCCCGTGTGGTTCTGGGATTTTTGCTCACCGTTCTTGTGATCATTTTGACCCCACGGGGTGAGATCTTGCGTGGAGCCCCAGATTGAGGGAGATTATCAGTGGTCTTGTATGTCTTCCATTTCCTAATAATTGCTCCCACAGTTGATTTCTTCAAACCAATCTGCTTACCTATTGCAGATTCAGTCTTCCCAGCCTGGTGCAGGTCTACAATTTTGTTTCTGGTGTCCTTTGACAGCTCTTTGGTCTTGGCCATAGTGGAGTTTGGAGTGTGACTGTTTGAGGTTGTGGACAGGTGTCTTTTATACTGATAACAAGTTCAAACAGGTGCCATTAATACAGGTAACGAGTGGAGGACAGAGGAGCCTCTTAAAGAAGAAGTTACAGGTCTGTGAGAGCCAGAAATATTGCTTGTTTGTAGGTGACCAAATACTTATTTTCCACCATAATTTGCAAATAAATTCATAAAAAATCCTACAATGTGATTTTCAGGATTTTTTTTCTCATTTTGTCTGTCATAGTTGATGTGTACCTATGATGAAAATTACAGGCCTCTCTCATCTTTTTAAGTGGGAGAACTTGCACAATTGGTGGCTGACTAAATACTTTTTTCCCCCACTGTAAGTCAAAATTGTAACTCGGCCACTCAGGAACATTCACTGTCTTCTTAGTAAGCAACTCCAGCATATATTTGGCCTTGTGTTGTAGGTTATTGCCTGCTGAAAGGTGACTTCCTCTCCCAGTCTCTGGTGTAAAGTAGACTGAAGCAGGTTTTCCTCTAGGATTTTGCCTGTGCTTATATCCATCCTGTGTATTTTTATGCTGATAAACTCCCCAGTCTTTGCCGATGTCAAGCATACCCAGACCATGATGCAGCCACCACCATGCTTGAAAAAAGGAGTCAGCCACTCAGTGATGTGTTGAGTTGGATATGCCCCAAACACAAGACTTTGCATTTAGGCCAAAAAGTGTATTCCTTTGCCGTGTTTTCTTGCAGTATAACTTTAGTACCTTGTTGCATACAGGAAGCATGTTTTGGAATATTTGTATTCTGTATATTTGTATTCTTCTTTTCACTCTGTCATTTAGGTCATTGTTGTGGAGTCACTACAATGTAGTTGATCCATCCTCAGTTTTCTCGCTTCACAGCCAGTGAACTCTGTAGCCGTTTTACAATCACCAATGGCCTCATGGTAATATCCCTGAGCAGTTTCCTTCTTGTACTGCAGCTCAGTTCAGAAGGATGACTGTATCTTTGATTTGTCTGGGTGGTTTAATACATAATCCACAGTATAATTATTAACTTGACCATGCTTAAAGAGATATTCAATGTCTGATTTGTTATTGTTACCCATCTACCAATCACTGCCCTTCTTTGAGACTTTTGAACAGCTCCCTGGTCTTTGTATTTGAATCTGTGCTTGAATCTCAATACTTGACTGAGGGACCTTACAGATGTTGTATGCATGGGGGACAGAGGAAGGGGGAGTCATTTAAAAAGCATGTATCCTAGGTTTCCTCCTATGTTCCTGCCTTTCTAGGGAGTTTTTCCTAGGCACCGTGCCTTCTACATCTGCATTGCTTGCTCTTTGGGATTTTAGGATGGGTTTCTATATAAGCACTTTGTGACATATGCTGATGTAAAAAGTGCTTTATAAATACATTTCATTGATTGAATGATGTCATTCCCTATTATTTTACACAGAGTTAGTCCTATTATGTGATTTGCTGAGCCACATTGTAGTCCTGAACTAATTTAGGCTTTTCTAAACAAAGGGGGTGAATACTTATGCTACGACTATATTTTAGTTATTTAATTTGTTAACATTTGTAAAATTGTCTTTTCACTTTGACATTATGGAGTATTTTGTGTAGATCAATGCAAAAAATAAATACATAATTTAATCTATTTCAATCCCACAACACCCATTCTTAAAACCATCCCACCGTTCATTAATTGTCCATCCATCCTCCTGCCTCCCTCACATCCTCCCATCCTCCTCTCCTGCCTCCCTCACATCCTCCCACCCCCCTCTCCTGACTCCCTCACATCCTCCCAGTCTCCTCTCCTGCCTCCCTCCCATCCTCCCAGTCTCCTCTCAGCCCTCTCTCTCTCTCTCTGTTCTCAGACTATCCTGTGCCCCTCCCTGGGTGGCTCCTCTCCTCTCTCTCTCCCTCCCTCCCTCCCTCCCTCCCTCCCTCCCTCCCTCCCTCCCTCCCTCCCTCCCTCCCTCCATCCTCTTCTCAGCCCTCTTTCTCTCTGATTGCTCTTCCTCTTGGCAGAGATAGCGAGTGCCCATGTCCTGTAGGGGCGACCCACCCTGTCCATGACATCAACGGCCCTGACACACACACACACACACACACGCACACACGCACACGCGCACACGCACACACACAGACACACAGACACACACACATACAGATGGTTATACATATGTGGACACAAGGTTAGTTAGATGACATAGACCAATACAAACACATATATATACACATACACACTCATACATTCATACACACACATACACACTCATACATTCATACACACACATACACACTCATACATTCATATACACTCATACACACACATACACACTCATACATTCATACACACTCATACGTTCATACACATACATACACATTCACACTTATACATTCCACAGACACATTCACACAGTGTGCCTGCCCAGGGTGAGATGACTGATTGTTGTATCAGTATTCCATTTAGAGAACCCGCTAAATAACTTACTACCTGATCTACAAACCATGAAAAGTCGAAAAGTTGGAAGCAACACACAATTTCAAGCAACATTTAATGTAAAAAACATACATTTGATATAACAATTTTTAACAATACATCTTAACAGTTTTCATACACATTTGGCATTTATCATAAGTAAGTTAGTTGTATAAAATTATTAAATATTAGATTCATATATTACTCATAGAAAATCTGTATACATGGAATGAATCACATTGGGAGAGACCCGTAGAATGATACACCTCAATGTAGAGGTCTCACACACACACACACACACACACACACACACACACACACACACACACACACACCACACACACACACACACACACACACCACACACACACACACACACACACACACACACAGGCAAGCAGGCACACACACACACACACACACACACACACACACACACACACACACACACACACACACACACACA